GTAATAAACCAGATAGACGCAAGGCTCTCTAATACACCAGATAAACGCAAGGCTCTCTAATACACCAAATTGACGCAAGGCTCTCTAATACTTAAGACTGACGTAAGGCTCTCTAATATACCGGATGGACGCAAGGCTCTCTAATACACCACATAGACGCAAGACTCTATAATACACAAGACAGACGCAACGCTCTCTAATAAACCGGATAGACGCTAGTCTCTCTAATACACAAGACTGACGCAAGGCTCTTTAGTACACAAGATTGACACAAGGCTCTCTAATTCACCAGATGGACGCAACGCTCTCTAATACACCACATAGACGCAAGGCTCTCTAATACACCACATAGACGCAACGCTCTCTAATAAACCAGATAGAAGCTAGGCTCTCTAAAACACAAGACTGACACAAGGCTCTCTAATTCACCAAATAGACGCAACGCTCTCTAATACACCACATAGACGCAAGGGTCTCTAATACACCACACAGACGCAAGGCTCTCTAATTCACCAGATAGACGCAACGCTCTCTAATAAACCAGAAGAAGCTAGGCTCTCTAAAACACAAGACTGACACAAGGCTCTCTAATTCACCAAATAGACGCAACGCTCTCTAATACACCACATAGACGCAAGGGTCTCTAATACACCACATAGACGCAAGGCTTTCTAATTCACCAGATAGACGCAACGCTCTCTAATAATCCAGAAAGACGCTAGGATCTCTAAAACACAAGACTGACACAATGCTCTCTAATTCACCAAATAGACGCAAGGCTCGCTAATACACCACATAGACGCAAGGCTCTCTAATACACCACATAGACGCAAGGCTTTCTAATTCACCAGATAGACGCAACGCTCTCTAATACACAAGACTGACACAAGGCTCTTTAATACACAAGATTGACACAAGGCTCTCTAATTCACCAGATAGACGCAACGCTCTCTAATACACCAGATAAACGCAGGGCTCTCTAATACACCACATAGACGCAAGGCTTTCTAATTCACCAGATAGACGCAACGCTCTCTAATAAACCAGATAGACGCTAGGCTCTCTAATACACAAGACTGACACAAGGCTCTCTAATTCACCAAATAGACGCAACGCTCTCTAATACACCACATAGACGCAAGGGTCTCTAATACACCACATAGACGCAAGGCTTTCTAATTCACCAGATAGACGCAACGCTCTCTAATACACAAGACTGACACAAGGCTCTTTAATACACAAGATTGACACAAGGCTCTCTAATGCACCAGATAGACCCAACGCTCTCTAATACACCACATAAACGCAAGGCTCTCTAATACACCAAATTGACGCAACGCTCTCTAATACTTAAGACTGACGTAAGGATCTCTAATATACCAGATGAACACAAGGCTCTCTAATACACCACATAGACGCTAGGCTCTCTAATACACAAGACTGACACAAGGCTCTTTAATACACAAGATTGACACAAGGCTCTCTAATGCACCAGATAGACCCAACGCTCTCTAATACACCACATAAACGCAAGGCTCTCTAATACACCAAATTGACGCAAAGCTCTCTAATACTTAAGACTGACGCAAGACTCTCTAATATACCACATAAACGCAAGGCTCTCTAATATACCAGATGGACGCAAGGCTCTCTAATACACAAGATAGACGAAGGCTCTTTAATACACAAGATAGACGAAACGCTCTGTAATAAACCAGATAGACGCAACGCTCTCTAATACACCAGATAAACGCAAGGCTCTCTAATACACCAAATTGACGCAAGGCTCTCTAATACTAAGACTGACGTAAGGCTCTCTACTATACCGGATGGACGCAAGGCTCTCTAATACACCACATAGACGCAAGACTCTATAATACACAAGACAGACGCAACGCTCTCTAATAAACCGGATAGACGCTAGTCTCTCTAATACACAAGACTCTCTTCGCCCACATCCCTAATTGCCCACATCCCAATTGGCCCACAAAAACATCAGAGGTTAATTAGGGTCAGACAATGCACCCCTACTCTCATAATGGGGTGTCCTGACAAGGATTAGTCTAAAATCACAGATCTGGACTTGACAAAGTGCTCTTGTCTCAGTGTTGTGGTAGTCACACAGGATGGAGAGGCAACTTAGAGAAGATTTAAAGTATATTTCAATTTTGTCTAAATAAAGTAGAGAGTATTATTAATTAATGTATCTACTAATCGGAAATAACTTCTCTCTCCTTTCAATTTAGTAACTCACTGCAACCCTATAAGTATGGTAGTTTGCAAAGCATGGGCAGTCTCTAACCTACAGAGAAAGCAGAGTTCACTCTAATCACAGAGGAAAACAGGTTCTACACGGAGGTCACAAGTATCGACTGCACGTTGACAGACAGGTAGCCACTCACTGGAAGTGTATCATCGACAAGTGCAAGGGTAGATGCAGCCTTCTCCCTGCTGCCAAGCAAGTCTCGTGATACATACATTAGATTGTTTAACTACTTGAAGGACTCTGTGCTTGCTATTGTCGGCGTTGAACTTTCTCCCTCCGTTGTACAGACTGACTACGAAGCTGCTGCTATTGGAGCCACTGAGAGAGTCTTCCCCGATGCAGAAGTCCGTGGATGCTACTTCCACTTCACCCAGGCGGTTTGGCGGCAGGTTTCAGAGAAAGGCCTTGTGAAAACCTACAAGGACAACCGTGCCTTCAACAACGTGCGACGTGCTGCTTTAATCCCCTCCTCCCAGTGGATCAGATCCAAGATGCCTGGATGGAAGTATTGAACCAGTCTCCCGACGTTGACGGAATCGCCAGTTCAACGACTACATCACATCTACATGGGTTGACTACTGACGCAAGATTCCCACCTCGCATTTGGAATCAACATGTAGAAACACTGGGCCAGAACAAACAATCGGAACCTGGACAGCCGCCTGCACAGACTGCAGCAGCAACTGGAAACTGGCAGAAGATCACCGCTACAGTTTCTGGACGCGGCTGGACACGCCTGATCAAGTTTGAACTGAACATTATGAAACTTTGTTACAGAAATAAAAACAAAATGTAAATTACTTTTGTCTTCATTTGCCCACATCTCAATTCGCCCACATCTTCAAAATAGGAGAGTCCATTCTTCAGTCATAGGTATGACACAAGTTGATCATTATGTAATCCCTAACCAATATGTTGTTTTAAAACTGTGGGCGAGATGGGATGTGGGCGAATAGAGAACATGCCCTCTTTAGTACACAAGATTGACACAAGGCTCTCTAATTCACCAGATGGACGCAACGCTCTCTAATACACCACATAGACGCAAGGGTCTCTAATACACCACATAGACGCAAGGGGCTCTACGCCACAAGCCCGATAGCAGTCGCTGTACACCACAAGACTAACACCAGTGTCTAAATAACTAGACAGATACCAGTCTGGATGTTGCTGGAAAAGAATAATTCTGAAAATGCGAAAAAAAATAAGACAAAAAAAATTGGTTCCGCATTTTCTGAGAAACAAACTCGCCTATATAATAGCTCTGACAAAAATGAAAAACAAATATGCCGTATCAAGCACAAATAACATAACGAAACGGAAGCTGCATAGTTTAGATATAAGAAGTAAATAATTCATATTGAAGGACTAGTTCCTTCCTACACCAAAAACGCCTGTCCGCATTCACCCAAACAATATCAAATGATCGACATCCATCATACGCTAAGATTACTCTTTTGTTTTGTTTTAATTTCCATTTTTCAGATTGCATTTTCTTCGATACAGATTATGTTGAGGGTAACATCGATCTGACAGTTCCATGGCTGTGGGGTAGAAAGTGGTTAAAGTGTTCGCTCGTCACGCCGAAGACCCGGGTTCGATTCCCCACAAGGGTACAATGTGCGAATCCCATGGCCTTTGTCCACCGCCGTGATATTGCTGGAATATTGCTAAAAGCGGCGTAAAACCACACTCACTTGCTAATTTACCAGTTCCATATACAGGTTGTGCTTCGATACTGTCTCAGTGTGTTTAGTTTTTGTTTAGTTGAATACCCCCCCATCACAGATAGGACTCCTCCGTTTTCAGTGGGGATTATTTATATCCGTGTTCCTGAGACAAGATCTATGATGGTTATGTATGGTCATCTTGTGTTTGTAGTTCGCAATTATTTGGTCACTGGCAATATTCGCATATTAGATGACTTCTTCCCATCGGACAAGCCGTTTCAACTACATGTGTTACTGTTTTAGATCAGCTACAAAGAGAGCGTTCGAAGATACCACAATTTTAAAAGGTACATTTATCATGACAAATCCCCTAGCACTTGTTTGGAAGTTCTTTGTCTAGCAGTAACAGTTTCTTAATCCTTTCGAATTTATCTTTAAAGCCTCTTTTAATCATATATGTAAATACTTCAAAAATGAGAAATGTATCTTCAAATAAATCCTTTTTCACATTCTGCGAAATTAAGTCATGTAATATTTTGCATTCAATCTATAAAAGTAAACCTGAACCAAATAGAAAAGGCGTTAAAAACTATTTATTTATTCATGTTTGTGTTTATCTGAATTTCTGAGAACGCTTTTTGCAAGTGGTGACTTTTTAAGGCACTATATTACATAGTTTTTTTAACCAAGAGACATAAGACGGCAAATATACACATAAACACAGAGTTTTAAAAAACCTGACACGTTTATAAAAAATTCTAAATGATTGTTTTTGATTCAAACGATCCGTTCTGTGATATATCTGCCATGTGATCGTTTTAAAAGAAAATCTCACAGATGCGTTCATCAAACAAAGCATTCTGAGCAAAACTTGCATTTGATCAAACATATGGCCCAAAAATGTCCATCTTACCTTCAGTTACTCTAAGACCTCGGGGTTCTGTCCAACCTGTCTTAGTAAATGCTCGGGGGCCACTGATAGAAGAGCCAGGTGCAAATAACGCTCAGATACGGCATGCCTCCCCAGGTATGTCACTGTCCACTATTGGATACGCGGAGACCGGTTACAGTGCCAAGGTGTGAGCAAGGGAGGGTCTGCTGGTGGAGGGCGTGGTCAGGTAACTACTTGGGTCGGTGTTTCTGGGTAGGCGAGGGAGGGAAACAGGTAGGGGTGATACCTTTGGTGGCGACGGAGGGTAAGAGGTAGGGTTGTATCTGTGGGTGGCAAGGGAGGGTAACAGGTAGGGGTGGTACATGTAGACGGAGAGGGAGGGTAACGGGTTGGGGTGGTACCTGAGGTGGCGAGGGAGGGTAACGGGTGGGGGTACCTGTGTGCGGGGTAGGATAACAGGTAGGGTGGTACATGATGGGGAGGGTGACAGGTAGAGGCGGTACATGATGGTGGGGGAGGAGGAGGTAACAGGTAGGGTGGTACATGATGATGGGGAGGGAGGGTGACAGGTAGGGCGGTACATGATAGTCGAGGAGGGAGGGTGACAGGTAGGGTGGTACATGATGGTTGAGGAGGGGAGGGAGGGTGACAGGTAGGGTGGTACAAGATGGTGGAGAGGGGTGACAGGTAGGGTGGTATGATGGTGGGGGAGGAGAGGGTGACAGGTGGGGTGGTACATGATGGTGGGAGAGGAGGGTGACAGGTAGGGTGGTACATGATGGTGGGGAGGGAGGGGTGACAGGTAGGGCAGTACATGATGGTTGAGGAGGGAGGGTGACAGGTAGGGCGGTACATGATGGTGGGGAGGGGAGGGTGACAGGTGGGAGGCGGTACATGCGGTACGTGATGGTTGGGGAGGGAGGGTGACAGGTAGGGTGGTACATGATGGTGGGGGAGGGGAGGGTGACAGGTAGGGGTGACAGGTAGAATTGGTACATGATGATTGGGGAGGGATGGTGACAGATAGGGGTGGTACATGATGGTCAGGTAGATGGTCGAGGAAAGGGAGGGTGACAGGTAGGGTGGTGATGTTGGGGAGGGATGATGGTGGAGGAGGGAGGGTAGGGTGGTACAGGTAGGGTGGTACATGATGGTTGGGGAGGGAGGGGTGACAGGTAGGGCGGTACATGATTGTGGGGAGGGAGGGTGACAGGTAGGTGTGGTACATGATGTTGGGGATGGGAGGGTGACAGGTAGGGTGGTACATGATGGTGGTACAGGAGGAGGGTGACAGGTAGGGCGGTACATGATGTGTGGGGAGGGAGGGTGAGAGGTAGAGGGTGGTACATGATGTTGGGGGGAGGGAGGGTGAGAGGTAGGGTGGTAGAGGTGGTACATGATGTTGGGGAGGGAGGGTGACAGGTAGGGTGGTACATGATGGTGAGGGAGGGTGACAGGTAGGGTGGTACATGAGGGTTGGGGAGGGAGGGTGACAGGTACATGATGGGGAGGAGGGTGACATTAGGGTGGTACATGATGTGTGGGGAGGGAGGGTGACAGGTAGGGTTGGTACATGATGGTGGAGGGAGGGAGGAGGGTGACATGATGGTGGAGGGAGGGTGGGGTGGTACATGATGGTGGGGGAGGGAGGGTGACAGGTAGGATTGGTACATGATGATGGTAGGGTGGTACATGAGGGAGGGGGTGACAGGTAGGGAGAAGGTGGTACATGATTGTGGGGGAGGGAGGGGTGACAGGTAGGGTGGTACATGATGGTGACAGGGAGGAGGGTGACAGGTAGGGAGGCGGTACATGATGGTGGGAGGAGGGGAGGGTGACAGGTAGGGTGGTACATGATTGTGTGGGGAGGGATGGTGACAGGTAGGGTGGGTGGTACATGATGGTGGGGGAGGGAGGGTGAGAGGTAGGGTGGAGTACATGATGGTGGGGAGGGAGGGAGGGTGACAGGTAGAGGGTGGTACATGATGGTGAGGGGAGGGTGGAGGGAGACATGACAGGTAGGGTGGTACATGATGGTCAGGGGAGGGTGACAGGTAGGGTGGTACATGATTGTGGGGAGAGGGAGGGTGAGAGGTAGGGTGGTACATGATGTTGGGGGAGGGAGGGTGACAGATAGGGTGGTACATGATTGTTGGGTGAGGGAGGGTGACAGGTAGGGTGGTATATGATGGTGAGGGAGGGAGGGTGACAGGTAGTGGGCATACCTATTGTTGTCCGATGGAGGGTAACAGGTGTGGTGGTGGGGGTGGGGGGTTTGTTGGTATGGCAAATGGAGTTGTTATGGCAAATATTACTCACAATTGTTGTGTGCCTACTGCGTATTAGAAATCCCCAAACTAGACAGTATTAAAAAGGCAGCAAACTGGTTCAAGACTACAGGGAAGATAGCAGGACACTGCATATTGACACCTGCCAGGAATCGAGGCACTGGGTCCGGCTTCACAAATGATACTATAACTACGACCATCGAATGTCTGTGTTGAAGCGTGAAAGTTACGACCACCTTGGAGCTACAATGGCTTAGTGGCTGGGCGCGGTTGTACAAAGCGGTTTTAGCGCTAAGGGGGTCATAACATGAACTTATTGCCTACAACGACACATTCACAAGTGATATATAAATCCAACAGGGAATCTATATTTATTTATATGATACTGTTTATGCATGAGTATATATTCAGAGTCCCGTAGGCCATACCTAGTCGGAATACCACTACTGTATCCATTATATGTAAGCAAATAGTGCATATAACATGCATGTCACACACACACACACACACACACACACTCTCTCTCTCTCTCTCTCCTCTCTGTCTCTCTCTCTCTCTCTCTCTCTCTCTCTCTCTCTCTCTCTCTCTCTCTCTCTCTCTCTCTCTCTCTCTCGCTGAATTCATGTAAGGAAGCATTCGACTCTGTGCCGAGAAATAAGGTATGGATTCTTTGTGATATAAATAAACAACAATGTCTGGGAATATTAATGTCTGGATGTGATTAAGTCCTTCTTTTATATGAATATATGAATAAGCTGCATGAATTCATAAAAACACTTTGCACATTGAACACTGTTAGAACTGACGTTACTCAGCCAAGTTTACATTGCAATATGGATAACAACAACTTCTTTATTTCGTGAGTGCGACGTTTCGATACAGATTCTTGTACCGTTGTCTTTCGTCGCACTCACGAAATAAAGAAGTTGTTATCCACAAAAACTTGTTCTATAGTGTACATCTCATCTTCTAAAATGCCACTCAAACAAGTTTACATTGTGTAAGGGAAGTAACTCACATTCATAAATCGCGGGTTCTGACGTCACACAAATGTGGGGGAATCCCCTTCTATGCTTGTACGGAGTGTTTGTCTTCCCCAAATCAGCTGCTTAAAGTGGTGTAAATACTCATTATTATTATCATTCCTTGTTTTATTGCTTCTTCTCGAACACTTGTTTCTGTTTTCAATAAAACTAAAACATATGTCTGTGTGTGATCATGTGACTTCCGTCGTAAAACGAAAGAGAAAGTAGAGATTTCACCGATACGTCACATTACAAAGAATGGGGAAAGATATGCAGATGTGTCTCAGATTTGGTCAGGAAAGGACTTAAAAGCGATCTTTGAGAAGCAGTTTAGAATTTGTAAGCACCCATCCTAGCTGTCAGTGGTAGTAAACCGAGAAAAAGAACGAAGAGGACGGCAGGTTGCCGCTCAACTTGTGGAGGGTGGTGAATAACAGAAATCACTTCCACAATGGAGAAGACACTCCTAGTTGTCAAAGTGAGTACACTTCATTTGTGATCGCGCGCCTGTATGTATGTTGTCACACTTTTGGGGTAAAATATAAGTAAATACGATTAATTATTATTTGTAATTTTGATAGTTTCATAATTTTAGGGGGCGGTGGGATAACCTAGTGGTTAAAGTGTTCGCTCATCGAGCTGAAGACCCAGGTTCGATTTCCCAGAGGGTTAAAATGTGTGAAGCCCATTTCTGGTGTGCCCAGTCGTGCTTTTGATAGACTATTGCTAAAGTTGGTGTAAAACCATACTCATTTACACATAATTTTAGATTTCTAAACATTAATATAGCATTATTTTCTTTTGGAAGTAAACAAATATATTTATGTATATGGCTCAAAACCTATGGGCTGGTGACTGTTAAATCCAGAATTGTGCAAATACAGGTGATTTCATTCAGTCAGGCATTAGAGTGTTTTCAGTTTTTGTTAGACAAGTTTGTTTGTTTTTCACTAGAAAGCTGTAATAAGGACAACTGTACATACACACACACACACACACACACACACACACACACACACACACACACACACACACACACACACACACACACACACACACACACACACACACACACACATTTGCATAGTGCCGATATCCAGCTCAGCTCAGCTGCTCAAAGGCGCTTTGTTTTTCCCTCGTTCACTGGATGTCAATCTCAACGGCACATCGTATTGTCAATCTCAACTCCCTGGGGAGCATACAACTCTTACAGCCACTAGGCGCACCGAGTTAATGGGGCATTCCATCCTTACGAGGTACCCATTCACAGCTGGGTGGACTGGGACACATAGTCACAGTATTTTGTTCAAGTTTACTGCACGTTGCTGTACCCGCAACTGGGTGTTTGCACATATTCATGTGGCCACCATCTGGTCATATACCAACGGATTCGTGGGTTCTTTTAAGTGCACAGGGTTGTGTACTGTAAAATAGGGGTTGTGACAACACTGAAAGAGTCTGCACACAAAGATGACTCCAAGGTTTTTACACCCGGTCACAGGTGGGCTCGATCCCGTCACCTCAAGCTCGCTGGATCACTAGCCTGGCGCTTTAGCCAGTTCGCCCACTTCGCCCCCGTACTGTACTCAAGGAAAACCACCCAGTGTCATAAGAATCAGGGTTGTGGAGTAGCCAAGTAGATAAAGTGTTCACTTATCATGCCCAAGATCTGGGTTCAGTTCCCAACATATTTGAAATGAATGAAGTCCACTTGTGTCCCCTGCTGTGACATGGCTGTAAAATTGGCATAAAGTCATATTGTCTCACTCATCTACATTGATCAGGAGCTGCATTAGGTGTTTACAGCCCCAGTGAGTTGGGTCAAATGTTGCTTTAAGCAGAATTTCAGTTATATCACAGGCTCTTGATTAACTGTTTTGGAGGTAAGCCTAAAGTGGTGTCAACAAATCAAGGCTATGGAATGTGACTCATGGATTCAAACCCCAAAACAGTCTCCTGGTGAAAATAAGGGACAAAACTCTGTACAACAAATTGTAGTATTCAACACATAGTGTTAAGAGGGTGGTATAGTTGAGTTGTTTAACGCCACACTTAGCAATATTCCAGCTATATGGCAGCATTCTGTAAATAGTTGAGTCTGGACAACACAATCTAGTGATCAACAGCATGAGCTTTGATCTATGCAAATGGGATATGATGACATGTGTCAACCAGGTCAGCGAGCCTGACCACCAGATCCCTTTAGTTGGCTCTTACGACAAGCATGGGTTGCTGAAGACCAATTCTAACCAGGATCTTCACGGGTCAGGTAGTTGAGGGGGGTATGTGGTGGAGAGGCTGGGAAGTTGGGATCTTTGGTTGTTAAGATGGTGTAGAATTGAGATGGTATGAGGTTGAGATGGTGAGGGGTTGAAAGGTTGTAAAGAGAACAGGCAGTGATACATGTGCATTTAGAATTTTGAGACAGCAGACATTTAGTTGCATGTATTCCTAAAACCAGTTTCGGAAGTTACTGGGTACCATGCTAGGGCTAATACCAATGCTGTATGAAAGCCAGCAAGTCTACTTTCACTTTCACAGGTTTTCAACTTAATCTACTTTCACTTTCCCATAATTTCAACTTTCTCTATATTAAAGAAAACCAAGTTCTATGGATAGTCAACTTCTTTATTGCAATGAATCTGACATTTGCAGTTGACTATCGATAGAACCTTGTTTCCCTTCATCTTTACAACTTCTAAAAATGCCTCTCAAAGAAGTTTCTCTATTTTGGATAAGAAGTAAATTGTTTATGCTAAGCATCATCATCATTTTATAGTAAATATTGGACAGATGCTGGGCTTACAATACAGCTGTGTCAGGGAATCTGTCAGAACGGCCATATCACCTCTCTGATTCAGAAATACACCACAACAAAGGCAGGAAGTCACGAGCCAACAAGGATGGAGTAGCTAAACAGAGTGTTACAGAAGTTTAGGTCCGTCATTGCACTTTGACAAAGACAATAACTGAGCTGTTTCCTTGACAGACTTAACGCTGTACGTCCATAACCGGTTGGAGCAGCACTATAGGCCCCCATCCAATAGATGGTTGTCATTTGGAACATGTGAAACAAATACATCTTTGTAATGTACGTACACGTCAATGCTGCTCAGCCCTGCTCAGCCCTGTGTGTGATGTGTCATGTTAGCAAGCAGGCGTGAGGTGAGTGAGTTTAGTTTTACACTATATTCTAAAATAGCGCATGGTCTCTGAATATATATAATTTTGATAGTAACAAATAAACCCATTCAAATTGAAAAGGAGCCTGAGGGAGTCTACACTTGCTTCATGTAGGGGTTTACCATTTATAACATATGTTATATTTGGGATTACACTTTCACAGTAAAGTACAGATTCTAGTATTTTGGGGGGCTTGAGTCCCATCCAGGATTAAAACCCACACCTTCAGAGTCAGGCACCTAATCGCCAGCACACAAATCCCAAATACAGCAGAACATGGATATAGCGAACACAGATATAGCGTACAAACGCTATATCGAACAAATTTAAAAGTCCCGTCAATAGTCCTTTATAATATCATTAAAATTATACGCGAATAACAAACTCATGAGTAGCAAATTAACGGCTATAGCGAACTGATTTACTACCCCCAAGACCCAATTAACAACGTGATTAGCGAACTCACTCAGTGTCAGCTCAGTGTCAGCTCAGCCACTTAGCGGTATACATCAACCTTGTTGGCGGCAAATCAACATTGTTTGATGGTCATTAATTAATTAACAAAACAAACATGTCGTGTTTAAAAGCTTGACTGGTATACAGGTCTTCGTTCACTCTCGTCACTATGGCAGGCAAACGTAAAGCTATCACTTTTGACACCAAGCTTCAGATAATTCAGGCTGTAGATTCAGGTGTAAAATCTAAGACAAACATCGCTTTCGACTTTGGCATTCCAAAATCCACTCACAGTTCCATTATTAAGAATCGCGAATCTATTCTTGCAAAATCTGTGTCTTGAAGAGTACAAGCCTGATAACATTTTCTATGCTGACGAAACTGGCCTCTTCTACAAAATGAAACCAAACAGAACTCTTCACTTTAAATCTGAAAAATGTAGTGGGGGAAAAAATTCTAAAGAGAGAATAACATTGTTGGTGGCGGCAAACATGTCCGGGAGTGAAAAACTTAAGTTGTTAGTCATAGGGAAGTCAGCAAAGCCTAGATGCTTAAAAAATGTACTCAAATAAAGATTTGTAGCCTCAGCATATACATGTCTCTACATCTCTACAATCCAAGATGGCGGTCAAATGTAAATAACGAACAACGGATATAGCGAACTAAATTTCTTGGTCCCTTGGAGTTCGTTATCCGTGTTCTACTGTATAACATATAACACATTGTAGGGAAGGCTGGCGGTTGGGAAAATGATGTGGTTCACGGACTGTGAGACAGACTAGCAATATTCCGGCAATATCACATGGGGAACACCAGAAATGGGCTTCACACATTGTACTGATGTGGGGAATCAAACCTGGGTCTTCAGCGTGAGAGCGAACACTTTAACCACTAGACTACTGCATGCAGGTTGGAAATGGTTGTAACTGTGTAGTGTTTCCCACACTTGACAGAACCTGCCTCAATGCTCGGAAGACACCATGACCAACTACCTCGAGATCATCTGCGACAATGGAGTGGAAGACATTCACTTCTATGATGATAGGGTAAAACACATCGCCTTGGTTACCATGGAGAATGAGATTGAAGGTAAGGGACTGTATTTTTATACTGAGGCTATGACCAGGTAGATTAGCCATGGTATAACCGTTTTCGGTCTTGTTGCCATGGTTTCCTTTGTTTAAGGTATAGGTATATTGGCCAGTACACCTATACTTTTACCTGATCTATAATGTGCTAATGTTTTTGTTGGACTTCCAGCAGGAGTGAGGGGTATTTTGTATAGACAACATACAGAGGCCCAGATAAGCTGCGTATCCGGGTAAAATATGCATAGAAACTTTCCAATTACACATTTAAAATGTTAGATACGCAAAGAGTTTAAAACAAATGCGTGCGGAATATATTTATTAAAATAGCTTGTATTATGAAAAAGACATTGATTGCTATCAAGTTGTACTGTTAGTATAGGACTAGTGTTGTACTGTCAGTATAGGATGAGTGATTTTTTATGAAATCATTTCCATTATATTTAAGTTGGTTTTGATTAGATATGACGTAAGGCAGAACATACCTGCATAGTAAACTTACTCAATGACATAATACTTAGGTGAGTAAAATGACTGAAATACGCACATATTTGAAAGCAGTGGGTAACTGAAAATGAAATACCCACTCAACATTCATAATACCTACTCAAAAAAAACCAGTGGGTTTTGTACCCACATGAGCTAATCTTATCTGGAGCTCTGAACATAAGACAAGTACAGTACATGGGTGTTTCATGACAGACAATCTGAAGTTACTGGTACCAAAAACACGAACGAAAGTGCATAAAGGATAACAAAGCACAAACCCCAAACATCTTTTATTTGACAGTTTATTTGTTGTTTGCATGGTCACGACGGAGTCAGCATTCACATTCTTACATTGATCGATGGAGAGCTAAGGGCATAAATACAAACGTTTATACCTTAGTACTCATATATGTGTTGCAAGCTCAACCCCAAATGTCTGTTGAGATTTCTGCAGCTCTTCTCCACTCACAGGATCTTAAAACCTTTGTTTAAGTAGTTGTTTGTATAAATTAAAGTGATCCCTGTCAAAGACACTTTACACAAAGTGTCTAATTTGTATACAAAACAAAATGGGTTTTTTTAATTGTCAACTTGACTGGAGTGAGGTGAAGTGAGGTGAGGTTTAATAGGTTTAACATCGTACTTGAGAATATTTCGCTCATATGACGACGTGCATGCGTGTGTATGTGTATGTGCGGCTGCTTGTATTAGCCCAGACTTAAGCTGGTTTTATAGTGCTAGCTCGCTCAGATACCCTGTCACAGTGAGGTATGAATACCCCACTCAGACACATTATACTGACTCACAGCTGACCAGTCCTTGTTGTACCCATTAATACCGAGACAGATCACATCAGAAAGTGTGGGTATATCTCTCACACACAGTAGATTTACAGAGAATGCTCACTTTATGTGTCACTGTCTGAGCTTGATTATAGCGGGCAGTTTTTTAACTCCTCTTTCTTCAACCTTGAATTGTTAATTTAAAGATAGTTCTTTGCTGTCACAGATATAGCACTGTACAGAGTTTAATAAGACATCTTTATTAATAGCTTCGTTGACACATGTCATCGTATCCCAGTTGCGTAGACCGATGCTCATGCTGTTGATCAATGGATCGTCTGGTCCAGACTCGATTATTTACAGACTGCAAACATATAGCTGGAATATTGCTGAGTGTGGCACTGAACAAGAAGCCAAACCAAAAAGTCTTTATTAATAGATTTCAGCAGCTGTCAGAAAAAGACCAAGAAACGTCGTATTGAAGGGCAGCAAGTGACACTGGTGGAAGTGTCTCCACCTGATGGCATCATCGTTAAGGGACTACCCCCAGGGATCACAGAGGACACCCTCAGGTTCTACTTCGAAACCCCCAAGGCGGGTGGGGCTGATGAGGCAGTCACTGACAGTGTCATCTTGAAGAACCTAAAAGTAGCAACCGTCTTGTTTAATGACACAAATGGTAAGACTCCTTGGTAGCTGTGTATAGTAAGAATCAAATCACATGTTTAAGTGTTACCTTTAATGAATATATACTGAGAGAAATGAATAAAGGATCACAGGAAAATGCAAGTGTTCCTCTGTTATTTTCCAGTTTCCATCGCCACAGTGCTATTCAAAGCTTGAGAACTGGCAAATATTAAAGGAACGCATGAATTTTCCTGTGATCCCTTATTTGTTTCCCTCAGTATATACTATGCCATTATGAAAAAAGCACTAAAATATGCAAGGCCACAAATTTCCGTAATTTGACGTCATGGTAAGGTCACCATTCTTTCTTGCGTTATGAATTCTTTGAACCAAACTACCTTGTTTGAGATGCGGAAAAAGGCCCAGATTTATAAAAACTTGGTTGGATGGGTGTTAGATATTTCCTGGTAACTACCATGGGTGTAGTGAATGCATTGTTTTTAAACGTACACCCATAGTGCCAACAATGTTTGGACATGTTTTCATTTATTATCTTGGACTGTCAACAGAGAAATTATTATATGGAATAATGCTGAACACAACAGGTAGAATGACAGGGATCCAGTGCTGTAAGGTCTTAGGAAGAAATAATGCCTGGAGACTCAGACCTGCAGTGATATGTGGCCCTCAGTATGTTACACGATACATACAGATGTGGTGTGTGGTGGCGTGTGGTCCTGTGCATAGCGCTCAGGTCACAATCGGTTGAAGTTAAATGTTGGGTGCAGAGAGTCCTTGGATGGGTGACCGTGTTTGGCAGCTTGACTCCTGAGAGTTTCTAGGACTTGAGTCCTGCCCCACAAAGAAGCACATGTTATACATGTGGTCTCACCCTAGGCAAGTGAGTTTGTTCAAAGTAGCCTCTGTTCACCCAACAGAAAATGGGTACCCGGTGAAATAAGTCGTGAGACTTAACCTGCTTGCACCTAACAAGCAGCTTGGGTTATCTCTGGTAATAATCATCAGATTGTGCGCTTCGAGCAGGATATCTAGCCTGCCTCTGAAAAGGCGCGTTATAAATATTCTCATTGTTAATATAAATCTGTATGATATATGATCATATATGATCATACAAAGTATGTCTTTGTGTTAGGGTGTTCTGATATGATGACACTGCAGTAATACATATACTGATGATATGTGTATGATATGATTCATATAGTGTCACAGGGTTATATTTCATTATTCTATTTAGTTCACATTCTCTCCCCTTGTCTACTTAAATCACAACCCTGAATCATTTGTTCTCAAATTTCGGACAAGAGAGATAGGATATTGTAGGGGAGAAAAATATAGACTTGGAGGCACTGTGCTGATTCTACTATTCACAGCCAACTAGGAAAACTTGAGAATCTACATAGACTGGCTCTTGTACAGTGTCTGTTACTGGTCACAATATCTTATCAATAAAACTTGTAATGTATTGTATCATATGTATTGCGATATTGGTAAATCGAGGGATTGTATTGTGAGCCTTGTATTGCTGTATCATTACATCACTGGTACATGTGTGGATGTTATAGAAGTCAGTCTCTGCAACTATATAAAAGTAGTGCATGAGCTATGAGCTGTACGTTGGACTGATGCTTCATGACACAGGATCCTGTGATAGTTCTGTCTTCACAGTCTACAACCTGTCTCACTTGCACTGTTTGCAGTTGTGCAAAGTGTACAGGACTCACACTTACTTTTTCTGTTTGTTGACAGTTGTGCAAAGTGTACTTAACAAGGACTCAAACTCACTTGCTCTGTTTGTTTACACTTGTACAAAGTGTCCTTAACAAGGACTCAAACTCACTTGCTCTGTTTGTTTACACTTGTACAAAGTGTACTTAACAAGGACTCAAACTCACTTGCTCTGTTTGTTTACAGTGTACTTAACAAGTACTCAAAGTGTACTTAACAAAAGGACTCAAACTCACTTGCTCTGTTTGTTTACAGTTGTACAAAGTGTACTTAACAAGGACTCAAACTCACTTGCTCTGTTTGTTTACACTTGTACAAAGTGTACTTAACAAGGACTCAAACTCACTTGTTCTGTTTGTTTACAGTGGTACAAAGTGTACTTAACAAGGACTCAAACTCACTTGCTCTGTTTGTTTACACTTGTTCAAAGTGTACTTAACAAGGACTCAAACTCACTTGTTCTGTTTGTTTACAGTTGTACAAAGTGTGCTTAACAAGGACTCAAACTCACTTGCTCTGTTTGTTTACAGTTGTACAAAGTGTACTTAACAAGGACTCACACAAGCCACAGAAGAACAGCCCAGCGGTTGAGATCACACCCTACTACCGGGCATTCCATGAAGATGTGCTGGAGTACCTCAACAATCTGCAGCCATCTTCAGCCTCATCTTCATCATCAGGATACACAACGCCAGAAACTGGGAGCCCCTTGACCACACGTCGCACTGAAGAAACCTGGAGTTCTCTGACTGCTCCCAAAACTGAAGATACTGGGCGTCCTATGACTACACCTCGCACTGAAGAAACCTGGAGCTCTCTGATTTCAGCTAAAACCTCTTCAAATCCTGTGAAGTCACAGGATAAAGGCTGGACTTCACCTGATGCTAATGGTCAGTGGATGAGTGTATTTGCTTCTTCACCCACCGATTCCACATCTGCTATGGAGAGTTTGTCGAGCATGACTTCATTGACTGGTGCTCCATATCAAAGTGAACCTACATTGGAAGCATCACATCCTCAGGAGGAACGATCTCAGAACCAAGTCATAGAGGTTACACAGGTTTCTGAGCTTGTTAAGTGTCATGAAGCACTTCTCAGCAGTGCTGCTCCTCCAGACAAGCCCCTGGACCAAATTCCAGAGTTTATGTCAATTGTTCCTGAGCTTGCTAAATGTCATGAAGCACTTCTCTCCAGTTCTGCTCCTCCAAACAAGCCCCCCAAACCAAAGCCCAAACCAAAACCAAAACCCAGACCAAAACCCCAACCAGCTGATGTTCCAGAGGAAACCATTGGTAAAACATCTGTTACTAACTTTAATGAGGCCCATGTAAAGCTCTTAGAAGCCTCAGGATTAGAAAATGAGTTTCCCAAATGTAGGTTGACCTTTAAGAATGGCTCCATCAACATTGAAGGCCCTGAATACATACTACAAGAAGTGACACTGAAGCTTTATGAGAAGAACCACAGCATCTCTGCTTCTACTCATGAAGTTTCCCCGGTGATTGCTGAGATCTTGATGTCCGAAAATGGCAAAAGCTACCTAGAGAATGAACTGAATGTGTGTGGGACTTCCCAGTGCTATGTCAAAGGTACCACCATGCACTGTGTGTCTTTTTCCGAGTCGGAAACCTGCACGATGATAAAGGACTTGAAGAAGCTGATTTGTCAGGAAAACGTGCACTTTGATCAATCCCACGTGCACTACTTGAAGAGTCCAGAATGGAAAGCAACGCGTGACCGATTTGAGAAAGAGATGAAGGTGAAGGTGACCCACAATGCTGGTGGGAGCAAGCTGACCATTGATGGACTCAACGGAGATGTGAAGCTGGTGAAGGGGGAGCTGCTGGGGGAGCTGAAGCGACATTCCCACACTTCCAAGCAATTCGAGATCAAAGGGGCCAAGGCTAAGTGTATGAAGAGCTTCTTCCACAACAATATAGCAGAGATCAAGAAGAAGTTCAGGTATGTTTGGCGACTGGGGGGCATCATGAGATGTGTGATGATACATAAGAGACACTGTTTATGCATCTTTGATATACAAGTAGAAACATGTTCCTGGGTAGATCCATATACTATGGTCAGCCACAAACCTCAGAATGGTTGTTGTTGGGGAAGACTGAATTGTGACCAAAAAACTGATAATGAGAGAGATTAACATGGATGGTTTGACAATAACAAATGACGGATAATATTGTAAGATGATGGACAGAGTACGCTGATAAGGAAGCCAGTTGAACAGCATTGAGAGTGTGTAGGTGGGATACTTGAATTGAAGAGATGGATTGTAATGAGTTTGTACAACATTGACGGGATGATGTGTTTGTTGTTTAGTGCTGTGTTTGTTGTTCAGTGTTGTTGTTGTTGTTGTTGTTGTTGTCCAGTGTTGTTGTTGTTGTTGTCCAGTGTTGTTGTTCAGTGTTGTTGTTGTTGTTCAGCTCCCAGGGAGGAAGAATGGATGAAACAGGCAGTATGTCCAGCCTCCACCTTAAACTGGAGGGATCACCGAAGGATGTGGATGACAAGATGAGAATGCTGAAGCAGCTGGAGGACAAAGTGTGGCATGAACGTCTACATCTGGGCAAGGAGGTGGCCAAAGAGAAAGGTCAGTGTGATGAATGAGTCATACCAGTCATTCTACATGCTAAACTGTCTCATGGTGTGACAGGTGTTAGCCACCAGACACAAGACACAAGCCATGTGATGTTACTGGAAAACAAGAACACAATTTATCATGTAAGCATATTTTTTTCCGCTACCTGAATGGTCTAGCGGCAGTCACGTGACCGTCGACAGAAAAGCATATTGACTCCAACCCAGGTCCGACCAAAAGTCATATTGACTTGAGTTATTAAAAATAGATTTTGACGTAAAGCTATGACGTCATTCTATTGTTTACATGTCACAGTATTTTTGACATAACGTTATTGGTCTGAAGCGAAAATAAAATCACTTTTCTTGACTAAATGGACATGTTATGGTTTTTAGAAGCTTTTTGTTTTTGTAATTACATAATAAAACAATTATGGACTGGTGGATTCGGTACAATACCTGTCTTATGGACCCGCGGTCAATAATGCTTGGTATTGACCTCATCAACAGTATATAATTGTATAATATTGTCTTTGCTTGGATAGTTGGGCTAATAAGTCCTGAGTCTTACCGTATATGACCGTCAATAAGATGACCCCATGGATAAGACGACCCCCAAACTTGACCCTTAAAATCAGTGTCAAAATGGTATGTTTCATGCATAAGTCGATCCCCCGTGATGGTGTCCTAATCGCGGCAAACACAGACCACAGACAACTGGCAGTTACCAATAATTATAACTTTGGTCCACATTATTCAAAGAATTCACTGTCATATAAATTGTGTCTACTCACGGATCGAAACGAAGTGTAGAAAATGCATAATATATTTTGCTTCTCTAAATATCATATTTATTGTAGCAACAAACTGGCTTGCTTATTTTACCCCATTCAACAATCACGAACTGATTACCGCCTCGTTTTTTATTGACTGCTAGTTTACAGTAACATCGGTAAAAATATGTGAATTTAAATCGCTTCCGTATTTTACCCCATTCCATGTGCATACCACGTTCATGAGGGTCCGTATAACCTTAGTGTTGATTATATATATTTTACATAAAAACTGTAAATAAAATTACACAATGCTAGGATATATTTCTTTGGGTTAAATAATAGTAGTCTGTATTATATTTTACTGATTGATTATTTTTATTATTGTGCATGTTTGAACTTGTACACCGAGAAACGTGTGCACAGCTGATTGCTATTTCCGGCTTTGTGTACGAGACAAATACGCACGGTAATCTTAATTAATTTATAGAGCAAAAACTGTAACTAAAATTACACAATGCTAGGATATATTTCTTTGGGTTAAATAACGGTATTCTGTATTATATTTTACTGATGACTGCGTCAGAATTCGTCCCGTTATATTATTGTGCATGTTTGAACTTGTTCGCGGGGAAACGTGTGCACAGCTGATTGCTATTTCCGGCTTTGTGTAATGGAGACAAATACGCACGGTAATCTTAATTAATTTATAGAGCAAAACTGTAACTAAAATTACACAATGCTAGGATATATTTCTTTGGGTTAAATAACGGTATTCTGTATTATATTTTACTGATGACTGCGTCAGAATTCGTCCCGTTATATTATTGTGCATGTTTGAACTTGTTTGCGGGGAAACGTGTGCACAGCTGATTGCTATTTCCGGCTTTGTGTACGAGACAAATACGCACGGTAATCTTAATTAATTTATAGAGCAAAACTGTAACTAAAATTACACAATGCTAGGATATATTTCTTTGGGTTAAATAATGGTATTCTGTATTATATTTTACTGATGACTGCGTCAGAATTAGATCCCCGTTATATTATTGTGCATGTTTGAACTTGTTTGGCGGGAAACATGTGCACAGCTGATTGCTATTTCGGCTTTGTGTAATGCGAGACAAATACATACGGTAATCTTAATCCCTGCAAATAATACAATGCCCAGCAAAAACAACTTATAACTTAAAAGGTAAATAATCTTGTCTAGTGATGTTTAATTGCAAATTTGACGTCTCTACTGACAAAGTCGTCTTCTGTTGTTTGTTCACGCGAAGTGATACGATGTTGTTTTCTTACCCCTGGAAAAAAGTTTGACGAAAGCGTAACCCATGGATAAGACGACCCCCTTCTACAGACTGCTTTTTTTGGTCCTCAAAATTCAGCTTATAGACGGTCATATACGGTACTTGGAGGAGTTAAAGTCAAAACTTTGTTGTGGACATAACACGTCACAGAGACCACAGTTATAACATTGGTAGCAGATCTCTTAATGCTTGTACTGAGCTGCACATTAGGGACACCAAGTAGCCTTTCATGACTTGAGGGTAAGCTGGTTCAGTTTAGCATGGTTGATCATGTTCATGTGGTATATATAGTTTTCCAGACAACCTTCTCATATAATGTTGAGATATTTCTGAGTTTCGGTTTGCATGAATTTGACTAGAATCATACATAACAGAGAAATATGGCTGGAATATGGCTTCATGATCGTTATTCATTTATCAGAATATGCAACAACTAAACTTGTATCTAAATGATCGTTATTCATTTACAATGTGTGAAGCCCATTTCTGGTGAATATGCTGGAATAACTAAAACTAAACTCAGTCTGTCAGTCTAAATGTTTCGTAGTATGTCTGTTATTCAAAATACCCAAGGTTTGACATCACCCTCAAATATTATGTGAATAAAGGCAAGCTTCTGTACCGATGTACCTATGTCATTAAGTCAAGAGTGAACATTGTCTAAAATACCCTGTGAATATTCTGAGTAGCTCCCCAGATAATAACCTGGATGTCAGACATGTTTAATTGAATGTCAACAAGCACAGATAGCCAGGACTTTGTTCATAATATCAATCACTGGTCTATCTGGCCCAAACACCATGTTTACAAGCTGCTATGATTTAACTTTAATGTTGCTGAGCATAGTGTTAATAACAAACCCAGAAACAAACAGAAGATGTTTTAAGAACATGTTCCAACATTTGCCGGATATCGCTGATGGTTTTCAGACTTGAACCTGCTCATCCGAGGTATACAGAGAAGTGACCCGAAGGCCATGGTGGCCTCCTTCGAGGCTAAGCATCCATGTTTCCTGGAGCTGTATCTTCCTGCAATGAAATCTACACCAGCATCTACAACAGCCAGTAGCGGGTATAGCACTCATTTCTGGTTTTTCCTCAATAATTCATTCTGTAAACATTTTTAATTGGTATGACAAAAGTATTTGATGTTATTTCTTATTTAAAACATAGTATATTTGAAAGGTTTTGTATTGTGCATCACAAACCATGTTTGTTCTTTCTCGTTTGTGTTATTTTTATATCTGCTAAATTAATAGTTAGTTGTTGCTCTTAGAATCAGTTTTCAGTATATCGTGAATGTATTTCTTGTTTAAAACAAGACTCAGCCTAGTTGTAGAATGTTCTTTTGTTTTGTATTGTGATAGATACGAGAAGCTAAGTCGAAGTCATTCACTAGAGAAGCTGAATAGTTCTGACAGCCAGACGGAGACAATACGCATCTTTGAAGATCACCGTCCATCTCGTCACTTTGAGCGTCCGATTGCCCGACCAGCACCACAGTTGACCTCTATCAAAGTTGGAAGTATAACAGTTTCTGTCCACAAGGGTGATGTGACCAACGAGAAGGTAAATAGAGTTGATGAAATAAGATTTATACAGATTAATATAGTATGATAATTTTCAATTTCATAACTTTGTTCGATTTATCGATGTAAAATTATTTTGAATTAATAATAGAAACGGGCAGATAAAACTCCAAGACATGAACATTTTTTGCCCTTTGTGTAGTATACCAATTGTTGAATATGAATTTCACTTTTACCTGTGTGCCCATTTTACCTTGACCTGCGTTCCAGTCTCATACCTCAATATTATCACATGTTCCCAACTCGCGAGAAAATGTTCCTGTTATTTTGTTCCACTAATCTTAATATCTGCAATAATTTGGCAAAATATATACATTTCTTGCTGCTAAGAAACATAATTCCTTTTTCAAAGGGATATCTGTAAAACAATATTTTAACTTCATTAATGTTCCCAATATTGCATTGTACATGTGTTTATATACAGAGCTCATGTAATAATGGTATTCCATCATGCTCTGTACCGGTATGATGGGCCGGTGGCCCCTTTACCTGAATAAAGCATCATCATCGTGACTCTATATAGATTAATGACTACTTGTAGACAATGTCCGCTCTGTCATTCAAATGGTGTTATTAAAAAATGTCACAAGTTTTCGTGAAAGGTCCTGGAATAAAATCTAAGCATCATTAATTTCTTTGGGACCTTTCTTCACAGTAAAATGGCTAATAAAATAATTATTTTTATCTTAGCTGGCTGCAAGTCCAGTGGACTAGAGCTGATGTTTGTGTATTGGGTGTCTGGGGTGAACATCTCACAAATCATTATTCCACCAATGATGACCCACCATTTTGTTCAAGAGGTTCAAATTTGATGCCGTCATATTGAAATAATCTCTTTATGGACATTTTTCTGCCATTTGTAAAAAATCATATACTTTGGGACGCGTATATGGTGTTCTGTTGAAACCATATTTTGATCTTGGTTTGACCTTTGCACTTTGACTGAACTAAAACTTCATATGGCTCATACACAACCATTTTGTTTCTAAATGTCATAAAATTTTGGTTCACAAAAGAAGGGCATGACATCAGCTCTTGCATATTTGTTGTAAACATACTTTGCATCTTTCAACCTAAAAAGAAATATAGTGGAGTCTCAGTAAGTCAGTATTGCAGATATCTTGCCAGCAACAAACATAATAAAGATAGACTCTCAGCATTTGATAGGCGAGTGAAATGCTGAAATTGTGCAGTTTTGGGGGACTTAAAAACAAACAAAACATCTTCAAGTGGCTTTTTAGAGCTATAATAACAATGAAAACATATGGATTTTAATTTTTCTTATCCTTATTTGGCACAAACTTGTATTAAAGAAGTCATAATTCGGAACTCTCATTGAAACCATGCAGAGATAAACAGAATCATGGAGACATATATTTGCTCACTGACACACGTTTTTCTATGTTGTTCTGTCAGTGCGATGTCCTAGTGAATGTGGTGTCAAAACTTCTCAAACTGGGAGAAACAGCGGTATCATCTGCTTTCATGAAGTCTGGAGGTGCAGAGTTTATTCAGGTATGCAATGACTACCGATCTGTTGACTGATGATCTTGACACAAGATGTCGTGATAGGTATAGGTGGAATATCATCCATCATCGTGCACTATCTACAAGTGCAGGGGTGCGTGTGCAAGCACACACACACACACACACACACAGACGTACACCCCCCTCCCTTTTGTCCTGAAAGTTTATTAAATGACTAAATGACTCTCGTGAAAATGAAGTGTGCATCCCTTTCTCAAAAAGCTGTATCTGCCCCTATGTATAACGCCACACTCAGCAATACCACAGTTATATGGCAGTGGTCTGTAGATAATCCAGTCTGGATCCGATGATCAACACCATGAGCATTGATCTATAAGTATTCCAGCTATATGGCGGCAATCTGTAAATAATTGAGTCTGGGCCAGACAATCCAGTGATCAACATCATGAGCATCGATCTACACAATTGGGATATGATGACATGTGTCAAACAAGTCAGCGAGCCTGACCACCCGATCCCGTTAGTTGCCTCTTATATCAAGCATGGGTTACTGGAGATCAATCAAACCCAGATCTTCACAGGGAGACAAGTCTTTGAGATAACCCGAGTGTAAACTGTCTACAGTCTAATCTACAATATCTCTGAAGTGTAAGTCGATGGTTCTGGTAATTTCTAGGTGTTCTACTCTCCTTTTTCCAAGCTACATCAGCTACATAATGTTACATTCGCTTTGCATCAACATAACACCAGACCAATTTTATTTCTTGTTTTACAGATTTTTGTCCTCAGAAAACCTTAAAGGCAGGATGGAAAAAAAATGAAAATAAAATCTCCAGTCAAAGTAATATTCCTTCTAAATACTCAAAGTATTTTACTTCTGGCAATTTATGAAGTGTATATGGGGCAAAAAAAGGCAAAAAACATCTAAAAAACATTTTTCTTGTTACATTTTTGGCCAATAAAAACATTAGGATTTATTTTTTGAGCGGGGAAAATCAATTTTAATTTTTTTTCTTATTCTTGAAAAAATATGACAGGTGGATCTGTAAACAAGAAATACAATTTTGTCTCTCCTTTTCCCAAGCTACATCAGCTACATAATGTTACATTCGCTTTCATCAACATAATGACAGTATTGAGGGGAGACTACTCTCATTGACTGCCACATCTCAATAAAATGTATAGAGCAAGATCCCACAGGGCCTAACTCAGATATTTCCAGAAGAGATCTTGCTTAGATATATTTTTTAATTTGAATAGGATGTTTTACTGTAAGGATGCCTGTGGATGTATGTGTTTGATTTTACATTTGAACCAATACGAGGTGGACACAAAAGTATACACTGAGTACAAAATTCAGTGGTCAAGTGAACATCACCCTGGCTATTACTCCTTGAACGATATAAATCATACGCTCACATATTTAAGACAACTGTTTTCTGTTGCAGCAATTTGACATGACGAAGATGAGTTATGCTCCTGGCAATATCATCCAGACACCAGCATGTGGGAACCTGTCTGCCAAGAAAGTTTTCACCATTGTTCTGGACAAGTTGGAATCCTCCTAAATCCAAAACTGTAAGCAGGATAGTTAAATGTGGAACTTGGTTAAAGTGCTGATGAAGTCATTTTAAACAAAGAAAAGCTTTCATTATCAGATATGTGGGGGCAATCTGTAAATAACATGTTTGGACCAGACAATCTAGTGATCAACAGCATGCTCATCAATCTACACAATTGGGAACCGATGACATGTATCAACAAAGTCAGCAAGCCTGACCACCTGATCCCATTAGTCGCCTCTTACGACAAGCATGGGTTACTGAAGATCAATTGTAACCTGGATCTTCACGGGTCCTGATACACTTGTCCAGTGCGATACCTGACTTTCTTCATACACTGTGATAGTGTCAATGATATCTTTCTTGCAGGACCTCAAAGCTCTGATTGATGTGTGTCTGAAGACGGCTAATGCTGCTTCGTTCACCTCCATCGCATTTACTGCACTGGGTTCTGGGAGGCTGCTCCATTTCCCAGAGAAGTTTGTGGCATCGGCCATTGTGTCGACTGTCAGAAATAATTCTGCACTACAAAACCTGAAGGTGAGGTGGATGATAACTGATTATCTTTGTGAGGGTGTTGATAACTTTCATCATGTTGTAGTTTCCTGTAGTGCTAATATCAACAGGTTCACAATATTTTAGTGACGAGCATACTGTTCTATTCTGAATGTAGATCTACAAGAGTGACTAGTATAGTAAGTGAGTGAGTATTGTTTTACGACGGCACACCGCATAATGGAGTAATTCAAACACTTTTGGAACAAAACTATGATGAGCTATAAAAGTATAAATGCAATTACTAAGACATATGTACTTTACAAAATAGCTACATATGAAAATATATATTTATGCTTGCTTCTAGATCTATTTTCAACTTAACATGGTGTAAATATCAATATGTGTTTTTATATTCCTTATTTATGGTACATGATATATTGCAGAAGTTTTATGATGGCATATTAAAATAAATGAAAGTAAAGATTATTGAGAGACCATATATTTATTATGTGACTTATCAACTGAACCCAATATATTAAGTTATTATTCATACCTGGTATGTCTTGAAGATATGGATCATATATTGTTAAGAAATATTAACCTATTTTGGGGTATTTTTTTTTTTTTTTTTCGCAGATTGTTAAACTTGTGCTTTACGACAGACCAACCTATCAAAAGTTTCTGGATGAAATCAGTCCAAGACCCTCAATGAGATATTCCTGTGAGTATCCTATTTCAACAATTCCAGGGCATTGTTTGGTGTCCTTGTGTACCGCCCTGTGCTGAGCTTCTTCTTTATGCATAAGTTCATCAGTCTGAGTAAACTTAGGTTCAGTATTATTCGTTTAACTGCTATACTGAGTCTAACAAACCCTAGTAGAACAGTGTGGATGATGCAGGCGGGGACAATAAGCCACATTCCTACTTCGGACCCCCATACAAATTACACATCCTATCACGGGTCAAGCTGTCCCTCCGCCGTGCCCAGTAACGATACTATCACTCCCCCGTGGAAGCAGCGGGCAGAAAAATTTGGGTTCACGTTAGAAGGCAACCAAGTATCGTATGAACACCCACTCTGTGTTTAACTACTGACCCCGGCTGCACGAGGCCCGCCGTACCAAATTTTAGTAAGATAACATAAGAGAGTGCTACATATAAAACAAATTGATACGATTATGTGCAATATTGTTGATGAAAATGCTCAACCTATCGTTAAGAGTTTTTGGGGAGAAGGGCAGGGGATATTTTTTTAATGTTTCATGCGGCAGAAAGATGTGACGTTTGATTATGATCTATTTTGTGACATCATGACTGCACTAGGAAGTGATGTCATGAGAACAAATGAAGGTTGCTGGGGGGGGGGGGGGAGTATAATTGTTGTTTGTAATCAAAAGTTATGTGATAATAGTAGTTACTACCTGGCTTAAACCGATTTAGGTAAGTAATGATAAATCGTATTGACTATTATTGTCTGTCTTTGACTTCAAGCAGTTCAGGCAATATTATATATTTTAGTTGTGTTGATTAGGAGTATTTGCAAATGCTGATCATTTCATGAATGTTTTTTCATAATTCCTGTTGTGTGCTGCTGGTCCAATAAGTAGAATTACTTCACCTGGAGGTGTGATTGAAATTACACTAGTCTGCTTTGTTTCCAGTTAGTTTTGCTGCCCTGGAAGAAGAGTTCTCCGACGCCATACCAAGGTGAGCTTTCCTGACACAGTCCTGCATGTTCATCTTGTTCGTGTTCATCGTCTTCATCGTCTTCATCATGAGGGGTGGTCTTATAGCCTATTGGTTAAAGTACCCACATGGGTACAATCTGTAAAGCCCATTTCTGGTTCGCCTGTCATGATATTGCTGGAATTTGCTAAAAGCGGCTTGAAACAAAATTCACTCACTTACTCTTCAGCATGTTCATTTTCTTTGTGTTCATATTCATCTTGTTCTTGTTCATCTTCATCATCTGGGTAGCCTAGTGGTTAAAGTGTTCGCTCTTCACGCCGAAGACCCAGGTTCGATTCCCAACATGGGTACAATGTGTGAGGCCCATTGCTGGTGTTCCCCGCCGTGATATTGCTGGAATATTGCTAAAAGTGCTATAAAACTAAACTCACTCTCTCACTCATGTTTATCTTGTTCATTGTGCTCATCTTCATCATGTGTTCATCTTGTTCACATTCATCATTTTCATCTTTTTCATTGTGTTCAGCATGCTGTCACACTGTTCATTCACCTTTCACAGTGAAAGAGACAACAGGCACCTTTTTTGCATTTGACTACGTCCAGAACAGTTTCAGTATGGACAAGATATGTAGATGAACAACATCTTTATTAGATTTAGGGGCTACATTTAAGTGTATATACAGGAGTGACTCTCAACCATACTCTGTTCATCACTTCTTGCTAATGCCGTGAAAACCAACACCAGAATGTCACTCCAATAGAAGTTGTTCTTCATACATCTTATCCTAATTGTCACGCCGAAGACCCAGGTTCGAATCCCCACATGGGTACAATGTGTGAAGCCCATTTCTGGTGTCCCCGGCCGTGATGTTGCTGGAATATTGCTAAAAGCGGCGTAAAACCAAACTCAGTCAGTCAGTCAGTCTTATCCCAATTAGTACTCCAGCTTCTAAATGCCTCTCAAAGACTGACTGACTGACTGAGTTTGGTTTTACGCCGCTTTTAGCAATATTCCAGCAACATCACGGCGGGGGACACCAGAAATGGGCTTCACACATTGTGCCCATGTGGGGATTCGAACCCGGGTCTTCGGCGTGACGAGCCAACGCTTTAACCATTAGGCTACCCCACCGGCCCGCCTCTCAAAGAAGAGTTTCACTAGTTCATGTGCCTTCACCATCGTATGGCTGGCATGAGATAAACTGAGAACTTTCCCAGCATCTGGAGCCAATCTTTTAGCAAGCTGATGACACAAGATGACATTTCATATAATGTACTGATTTACCTATATACCTTGAGAAAATCATCTTTAGTCAAGGATTTGAAAAAGTTTTAAACATCTAATATAAATCATTGCATATTTACTGTTTGATTTGTTTGTTTGTTGTTTGAAGCCCCACTTAGCAATGATTCCAGCCATATGGCAGCGGTCTGTAAACAATCGAGTCCTGAACAGACAATCCAGTGATCAACAGTATGCACATCAATCTACGCAATTGGTATACGATGACATGTCAACCAAGTCAGTGAGCCTGACCACCCGATCCTGTTGTCTTACAACAATTATGGGTTGCTGAAGACCAATTCAAAATCGGATCTTTACAGGTCCATTTCTATTGGGTTTGTCCCAAACTTGAAATTTTTAACCACAGTTGCAAGACTTTTCCTCTGGTTCAAGCATATGATATTTATAATCATAAAAGGACTTACAAAAATGTGTATAATTATTTTATTTCAGAGGCAGTGGCATGTCAAGCAGTAAATCTATCATGGACAGTGGCACAAAGATCACAGTGCAGCAAGGGGACATAACCAGGTTCAGGGTAGGAAAAGCTTCAATCAGTGTCCCACAAGGTTTAAATTGACTTACAAAACGGCAAGTCTAAAAGACCTATGATTAATACTTCAAGAGTGGAAATACAAGGATTCTGTAAAGTAATGAAAGAGTGTTATGCCCTGCACTTTAAGACTTAACACACTAAACAGTGATCATAAACTAGGCAATACTAACTTTAGTTCGTTATAACCATTATACACATTTTGAATAAACTATACAGGAATGGGCCAGGACCAAAAAACGGTATGTTATATTCAGCAGATAGTAGGGGTGGGTATTGCCAATAGAATTTTCATATTGCGATATATTGCAATGCAAAAGCATATATTGCGATATGTATTGCAATATATTGCAAGAATATTTTTTCAACAAAAAGGTACTTATAATCGAGGTAATGCTTGATTTATAAAGCAAAAACATAACAAAATCACTATGCTTGATTAAGCTTTAATAAAAACTTTTAATCATGACAAAACAAAAATGTAAAAATATTTGTCACAAATGAAACAAGGAAAAGAACAATTTAACATCAACACAGTGGTTACTAGTTTGAACTAGTTTCTCCACTCTCTAAAAAAAGCCCTGAGATTTTAGACAGCAACTTGACCTGGTCAGGACATATCAGAGATCACTGGTCAATTAATGAGTAAATATTTAAAACATTCTAGTCCAAAACAAGAAACACTTGAACAAAAATTAAGAACAGAAGTTCAAACCAAACTTACATTGGTCGTCCTTCCTGAGAATTTCACTTTACCATTGCATATTTTACATACCGCATTACTCGCATCAACAGTTCCATCTAACTTTTTCAACCCCAAACCATGCCATCACCTTTGCCCTAGTATTTGGCACCACAATATTTTGGTCGTTGTTGGGCGTCAGCATTTTACAACAATCGCATGACTTTCTATGTGAAAAAAGGAATTATCTTCTAATGAAGGGTGTTATCGGTGCAATAAAGCAATCTGATAAACTTGGTATCCAAATCTGATAACTATGCAAATTACGTCAATCCACGAACTACTTTCACAACTTCATACAGGCCATGTGAATCCTAAAACGTTTAACATTTCATTGATGATACGGATTAAGAGGCACAACTGAAAGGCAATCGTCTAAGAAAGGTACCAACCAAGGATTTTGATCTATCGATCACAATACAGACAACTAATCGATTCCATCAGAAACTAATATTGATGAGGTGCTTACCCGCAATGAAAACCAAGCCCGATTTTGTTGTTCTTTTTAGACAGAATGATCTTATCTTAAGCATGAGTTATGTTTGCACTGTATTAGCGACTAGTCACAACCATATGCAGCCGTCATGAACGACCTTCACCTTGGTGTACTGCTAAGTATTCTTACGGGAATGCTCGATTCTCTTCATATACCTTCACGTACCATTTGCTTTTTTTTTTTCAAGTAATTTTAAGAATGACATTATATGATAAAGAGATTATTAACCGAGTGTTTTCGTGTCATTAAAGGCTCGCATAATACATTTTTTATTCCTAATATATGATATTAATGATATGGAAACACACAAGGTTAGTAATCTCTATATATCCAAAATGTCTGAGTGTTACGAAGGTTTCGAAATGCATGTCAAAATGGATCAGCGTAACGCAATACGTATCGTTTTCATGTCTGAACAGGTAAATACCGGTAAACAAATTATATTGTTCAGCCCTAGCAGATATTATGAAGCAGTTTAATGCAATTTACTGTGATTACTTTAATTGAATGTACTGAATATTTCATGTCACAATTATGTACAGTGAATATTATTGTGTGTCCTTCAGGGCATAGAATATATTGTTGTGAGTTCATTCTGTAGGTTTGTGTGATATTTCTGTGTTACTTAAAACCTAGTCTGTCTCACAGTCCCTGAACCACATTAATTTCCCTACTGCCAAGCCCTCTCTGCAGTGCTAAAGCCCTAAATAAAGCAAGTCTAGATTTCCTCAGGTTCAGGAATCTGAATCTCTGGTCTCCCTAGGGCTCCTTTTCAATATAAATGGGCTTGTTTGTTACTATCAAAATTATATATATTCAGAGACTAAGCCTTAGTCTACTTAAAACCCTGGGCTGATGATAAATTGTTTGAAGTTCACCCAAAGCGTGTTGAGATAAACCTTTTATATAACTGCCGATTTAATTGTGTTAAAGTGACTTTGGAACACAACTCGCATCATGTGTTTAAAATGCCAGATTAGAATGTTTACCTTCAATATCTCATCATGTCAGTTAAGTTTTGTGGATGAATTCATGTGTGTATATTTTGTTAACTCTGTTGTCTCCTATGATGAAACACAAGGATTAACAACTGTACAATGTTTTCACAGGCAACTGTGCTGGTGAATATGGTAACTGATGACCTTGACCTTAGATCTACAGCTGTGTCTCAGGCCTTTACACGTGCAGGTGGAAAAGCATTTGTACAGGTTTGTTGATTTTATGTTAGGGACTGGACATAGACTTTATATACTGGGCAAATAAAAATGTATGATTTGGGAACGATTTAGGAAGTGGTGAATTATTGTAGGACGCCAATCTCAGATACCCACCACCTCTAATAAGTGACCATGAAACAACCATTAGATCAAGCATTTGGATTGGACAATATTTATGTCTGCATTCCACTTTTCAAATTTTTAAATCAACTCTGTGACAACTATCAGAGATTTAATATGTGATTAAAAAGTATTAAAAACTTAAAATTGTCAGCTACAAGCATAGTGTTTACGTCATCCACTATATGTCCCATGGTGAGTCTGTTTGGTATATGACTGGCTTACACTGAAGGTTTAGGCCATCATGTGTAGAAGTATGTGTAACATAAACTAGGATTATTCACTCATGACAGGATTTTACATATTTGTATTGTCTGACAATTGAGAAATTGTGACTGCATGTTCTAAAAACAAACCTAATTTCTGGAAAAAAAAATATTGATCAAATTTTCCTTCTTGCAGTTCAGAGTCCATGCCAAAATTTGCAATGCAATAATTGACCAAGGTGTTCAGAGCAACTGTTTTTTGCTGCTCACAGAGATTATCTTTTCGTACTTTCCAGGCATTTGAGATGGAGAAAAGCACCCCAGAAATCTCTGGCATCATTGTGACACCAGGAGGTGGCAACCTGCCCTGTAGCTATGTGTATCACGTGATCCTCAATAAGTATCATAGTGGTTCACAACAGGTACAAAAACATCTCTTCACATTCATCCCATTCATGCCATTTGTGATAGTTATTATCCCCCGCAAGGCGTTTTGCGGGGGGTATTAAAATGGACTCCATCCGTGCGTGCGTGCGTCCGTCCGTCCGTTCGTCCGTGCACATTTGTCTTTTCCGGAGCAGAACTCTAAAACCGTTCAATATTTCTTTACCAAACTTGGCACATAGATAGATCTGGTGGTGTACTGGTGCCTTTTGGTAGTTTTGGAATTCTGAATAAAATATTTTTGGCGTTTCCATGGCAACAAGTTCGACTTAGACTGAAATTGGTGGTTGTGCTCTTTTCCGGAGTAGAACTCTAAAACCGTTCAATATTTCTTTACCAAACTTGGCACCAAGATAGATCTGGTGGTGTACTGGTGCCTTTTGGTAGTTTTGGAATTCTGAATCAAATATTTTTGGCGTTTCCATGGCAACAAGTTCGACATAGACTGAAATTGGTGGTTGTGCTCTTTTCCGGAGCAGAACTCTAAAACCTTTCAATATTTCTTTACCAAACTTGGCACATAGATAGATCTGGCGGTGTACTGGTGCCTTTTGGTAGTTTTGGAATTCTGAATCAAATATTTTTGGCGTTTCCATGGAAACAAGTTCGACTTTGACTGAAATTAATGGTAGTGCTCTTTTTCGAGACAGAACTCTAAAACCTTTCAATATGTCTTCACCAAACTTGGCACATAGATAGATCTGGTGGTGTACTGGTGCCTTTTGGTAGTTTTGGAATTCTGAATAAAATATTTTTGGCGTTTTCATGGCAACAAGTTCGACATAGACTGAAATTGGTGGTTGTGCTCTTTTCGGGCAGAACTCTAAAACCTTTCAATATTTCTTTACCAAACCAAGACTTGGTGCCTTTTGGTAGTTTTAAATTCTGAATAAAATATTTTTGGCGTTTCCATAGATCTGGTGGTTGTGCTCTTTTCGACAGAACTCTAAAACCTTTCAATATTTCTTTACCAAACTTGGCACATAGATAGATCTGGTGGTGTACTGGTGCCTTTTGGTAGTTTTGGAATTCTGAATCAAATATGTTTGGCGTTTCCATGGAAACAAGTTCGACTTTGACTGAAATTAATGGTAGTGCTCTTTTCGAGCAAAACTCTAAAACCGTTCAATATGTCTTCACCAAACTTGGCACATAGATAGATCTGGTGGTGTACTGGTGCCTTTTGGTAGTTTTGGAATTCTGCCAAATATTTTTGCGTTTCCATGGCAACAAGTTCGACATAGACTGAAATTGGTGGTTGTGCTCTTTTCGAGGGCAGAACTCTAAAACCTTTCAATATTTCTTTACCAAACTTGGCACATAGATAGATCTGGTGGTGTACTGGTGCCTTTTGGTAGTTTTGGAATTCTGAATAACATATGTTTGGCGTTTCCATGGAAACAAGTTCGACTTTGACTGAAATTAATGGTTGTGCTCTTTTCGAAGCAGAACTCTAAAACCTTTCAATATGTCTTCACCAAACTTGGCACATAGATAGATCTGGTGGTGTACTGGTGCCTTTTGGTAGTTTGGAATTCTGAATAAAATATGTTTGGCGTTTCCATGGCAACAAGTTCGACATAGACTGAAATTGGTGGTTGTGCTCTTTTCGAGACAGAACTCTAAAACCTTTCAATATTTCTTTACCAAACTTGGCACATAGATAGATCTGGTGGTGTACTGGTGCCTTTTGGTAGTTTAAATTCTGAATAAAATATGTTTGGCGTTTCCATGGCAACAAGTTCGACTTTGACTGAAATTAATGGTAGTGCTCTTTTCGAGACAAAACTCTAAAACCGTTCAATATGTCTTCACCAAACTTGGCACATAGATAGATCTGGTGGTGTACTGGTGCCTTTTGGTAGTTTTGGAATTCTGAATCAAATATTTTTGGCGTTTCCATGGCAACAAGTTCGACATAGACTGAAATTGGTGGTTGTGCTCTTTTCCGGAGCAGAACTCTAAAACCTTTCAATATTTCTTTACCAAACTTGGCACATAGATAGATCTGGTGGTGTACTGGTGCCTTTTGGTAGTTTTGGAATTCTGAATCAAATATGTTTGGCGTTTCCATGGAAACAAGTTCGACTTTGACTGAAATTGATGATAGTGCTCCTTTCTGGAGCAGAACTTTAAAAACCTTTCAGTACTCTCCTTCCACTTTTCTATATACACACCTAAATATTTGACATAATCAAAACTCGTAGACATAATCATGACGAGTATTTTGCCATTGCGTGGGATATTGATGACTTTGTCTTCTTGTTCATTTTAATCACGGTTTTATATTTTGTTGGGGAATGTATACCCAGGCTTGTCGTAGATGTTTACCTTGGGACAGAAAGACAAACCACATTGGTTTGTTGCAAACGGAACAAGAATCATTATCAAGCCGTATCAAGTGCAAGTCACATCCAATAAAGGGAGCAACTCTGTACATAGAATTGTAGAGCAATACACTGGTTAACCACCTTACCCCTTTGTAAAACAATACACTGCTCTGCAAAACAGCTAACAGCAAAGACAAAATGTCAAAGCTGCCTCTCAAATCTTAATGAGATCAAATACCAGATACAATTAATGCTCTATCAAACTCAGATAATTTAAGTTATAAATAAAAACAGTTCAGCAAGGAAGTATGGATACAAAGTGAAAAGTCTAGATTTCAGGTCCTGGGTCCCAATCTACAAAGCGTTCGTAAATTTACGACCTGTCGTAACTCTATGCTATCATAGGCTTATGAATGCCATAGCGTTACAAACTTTTTGAACAGGACCCTGTACACTAACCTTTATATGACAAATCTGAGCACAGCAAATACTCACATTATTTTGCAATTTTCAAGGAATACATGGATATTATCCGTGAGTGCTTCAAGTTGGCGGAAGGTTACAACACAACATCGATTGCCTTCCCTTCACTGGGATGTGGGGTACTCCTCAAGTACCCTCCGGACTTTGTGGCTTCTTGTCTTATAGACAGTGCCAAGGCTTCCTCAGTAGCCGTGAGTACTTGCTTCTGCTGTGACACCATATCTAGATGGTATCCTGGCACTTAACATCACCACACAAACAGGGTTCATTTTACGTGTGCCAGAGCCTATTCTGTCAACTTTAGTAAAGCCTTGAAAATTCTGAGGCACTTTTAGATCATGTCAGACATCATCGAAGAGAGCTCATAGCATAATCCTGTTCCATCTGTCCACAACCCTTTTTGAAAACTGAATTCTCCTATTTCCCTAACAACTTTGCAATAGTCTTCACACCAACCTTTTCTCCTCAGAAACCATTGAACACACAGCTGTCATTTTTTGAAAGATCAAACCATTGTGAAGAACTGTCAGAATATCCACGATGTTTTTTTGTCATAAATATGTCAAAAAGAGTTGAAATATTCAGTTTAGTTTGCACTATGCCCAGCATACTTGAAAGACACCCGCTTCATGTTTAATGGTGATCTTTGTTTGTCTGCAATGGGTCCCATCCGGGATTCATATATACACTCACTCTCTTTGTTTCTAAATAAAACAAAGGTAATGATGTAACACATTTGTTGTCATGTCTGTTGGTCTCTTTGATCTCATGTCTTCACTCACAGGCAGCCATTGTTAACCATCTTTTTCTTTGATCAAAAACTTTGGGGAAGATTTTACCAGTGTCATATAGTAGCCAAACACCACTGTCTTTTTCTTCAGAGCTTGGGTTATGAGAATTACACCCCATGTTGTAGATATTAAAAATGAAACATCAAGGTTAATGTCAGAATCCTTTCAGTGAATAAAGTCTTTCATGGCCAAGTAGGCAGAAATAGATGCCAGGCTTTCAAGGGCATATATAGTACATGAAAGAAACACAGGTTCACTGAACTCTTTGTAGCCAAATGACATTTGTTGATTGGTGGTGGGGTAGCCTAATGATTAAAGCCGAAGACCTTGGTTCACTCCCCACATGGGTACAATGTGTGAAGCCCCATTCTGGTGTCCCCCGCCATGATGTTGCTGAAATATTGCTAAAAACGGCGTAAAATTAAATTCACTCACTCATTCATGCTAATTGGATATTGATAAAAAGATAATTGTATTCTGTTTTGAACTATGTTTTACTGGATTTTTGTTGGTTGTCGTCAGTAAAATCTCTGCAAAGGGAATTAATTTAACCGTGGATGCAATATCATGTTTCCATGGTTACCAGAATGGTCTGTTGTGACTATCTGCCCATTAATTATGCATTTGGAGGTTAACAGCATGGTGCCAGAAGTATCTCTTAAATGTCACCCCAAATTAGTTTCTCATCCATCCATCCTTTCTGCAATACTAAAGTCCTAAATTAAGCAAGTCTAGATTTCATCAGGCTCTGAATCTCCCTTCACTTGGGCTCCTTTTCAATTCAAAAGAAATTGTTTGTTTAAAATTATATATATTCAGTAACCAGACCGTAGGGCTGACGGTGAATAATATACTGTTGGGGAGGGATGTCCCTTTATGGTATTGTCTCTGTCTAAAGAAAGGCTTGGAAAATGATACAAGAAGGAAGCTGTGATTTGTAGAAAGTAAAATTTTGATTCCTCCAATTGTAATGTTTTGTCTGCCTGGACTGAGCCATTTGGGACTCAATATGTGAAGTTGTGTGGTATGTTTGCAACCAATGTCTCTGTGAAACAGTGATCTTCTCTCTCCAGAATGTGACTTTTGTGGTGTATGACCCGCCCACACTCCAGACCTTCATGGATCAGCTGACTAGTGGCAGTGCACAAGCAGCATCATTACGATGACTCTCACCACGACACGGATGACTATGCCACACTCAGGCAAATCGCTAGGTCTTCACAAGAAGGTACAGTGGAAGCTGTATAATCCAACACTCACTGGGACCAGGGAAAAATGTCAGATTGTACAGCGTGTCGGATAGTTCAATGTCCCCTTGCTTGAATACTTTACAAACAGTACCATACACTATACAGACATTTCTCTTGAAATATACAAATGTGTCTGTATGAGTTGAGAGGTTGTGTTTATCTAGCTGCCTGATCAAAAGTTCACAATTGTTTATTAAAATAAAATTCCGAAATTTTTCTTCCCTCAAAGTCCAAATCTTGAAGTAGATCAACACAAGAAGGGAGATAACCATTTTACTTCATTTTGAAACAACAGATATTATTCTTCCTTATTTTGTCACGTAAGCTTTACTTATGGGGCAAGGGATTTTCTGTTAAAGTTCATTTTGCACTGGCCATGTTTATTAACTAATAAGAGTTAAACACATTTTGTTTAAAAAATCAAATTGATTGGCCACACTTACAAGACATTCTATTACCTAGACCTAGGGAAAAAATGTCATTTGAAGGCGTGAGTGAGTATGGTTTTGTGCTGCTTTTAGCAATATTCCAGCAATATCGCAGCGTGGGACACCAGAAATGGGCTTCACACATTGTAGCCATCTGGGAAATCGAACCCGGGTCTTCTGGCGTGACAAGCGAACGCTTCCACCTCGAGGCTACCCCACTGTCCCGTTTTTGAAGGAGGCTTTCTGTTGTATACTTGATGTTCACATCACTACAGATATCTGACTTCCATAGGTAACCTTGGAGGGAATTGTCACCTGACTGACTCATACATGGTGTATTGCCAGTATGGCTAGTGCTGGGGTAAATAGTACCAACTAGCTCCACACTGGCCCCGTTCATGACATCATCTGTGTCGGCTGTATTCCACCATGATAAGAATAAACAATTGCCATCAGTTAATCGCATCCAACAAAATGGGTATTTAGGGGATAGTCCCTGAACCATATCAGTAGAAAACATAACACATGGTCCCGGGGGAGCCATTCTAGGAAAAGACAGCCATGACCGTAGATCAGCCGATCGCCTAGATAGCCGAGGTCCTAACTTGACCCTTTAAATCAGTATCAATATCAGTGTACATAACCTGAACAACCAATCTTAAGTCATCATGAAAGTACAATATAAGTACAATGCAAACCTGTCACAGTTTACCAAAATTAAATCCTTTATACCAACCCTTACAGGACGTATTCCCACAGCGGAGGCCAAGACAGCTAGTGTTGTGATATACGGAAAGGATAAGAAGACGTGCAGCGATGCCAAGGCAGCTCTTGCCCAACAACTGAAGGATAATTTCTTACACGTAGAGATTATTGAACATGAAGATCTGCTGAAGCTTCACAAGAAATCTATAGAAAGCATGCAGTCCACAGCCAAACATAATGGAATATGGATAAAGTTTCCCAATCCCGGTAGGACATTGTCAGAGCTCTCTGCTATCTCCCCTTCATTCTGTATTGTTTGTAAATTTCAACTGAATCCATATGTGACACACATGTTCTTGTATGTTTGGTAAGTTTTGTTTCAAGAAGAATCAGACCATCTAAGATTTGCATATGTAATTTGTTTCGGTACCCAAGTGACCCTTGACCCCCAAAATTCACAGCTCACAAATGAAACCATCTAACACCTTTATTGCGACATTATCATCGCATGAAACCCATGTATCAGTCATTTCTAGCACTGGCTAAAAGATTGATAATAGGAAATATCATCGATAGGAAAAGTTATTAATGATTATCATTATGAAAATTGTGTTATCGAAAATATCATACTAAACTTTTGTGATAGAATATAAACATTAATTTAATTTTCTCACACAGAACACAGAATTAGGACTTTATGTATTGCTACTTTTAAATTATGTTCAGGATGCTGTTTTGTTTTTAATCTATGCATTTATTTGTTTGAGATTTTTTTGTACATTAAAGTCTGATATTTATCGATAATTGATCGATTTTTCGTTAAGATTGTCTATCTCTATGGTCTATAGCAATAGCCAGCCCTCGTCTTGTCTTCAAACAAAACATGTGACTAATTCGTTCCTTGTGTATCTGCAGACAAGAGAAGTAAAAAAGGCAAACCACTACTGAAGCTGAAAGGAGAGAAGCAGTGTGTTCTTCTGGTGAAGGTGAAGGTCCAGGAAATTCTTCTTCAAATAAGGAAGACTGAACACAAACCTAAACCTACAAGAGGAAATCTAGGAACGAGGGAGTTTCTGGCAGAAATGGGTTCAATGACTGAATTTCAGACACCTTCCTACTGGACTCAATTCAAAAATACTCAATCACTTGCAGATATCATGAAAGGTTTATTTACACAAAGTCCAAAAAGCAGTTATTATCTGGTGAAAGTGGACAAGGCAACGTACAATGCCATAGACACACTTGTTCAGAAAACCTGGGATTCCACACTGGTTGGTCATGGGAAGGATGCTGCAAATCTTACTCACAAAGCAATCAAAGTCACAGACATAGAGAGGCTTGAGAATCCAGAATTATTTAAAAGATATTGTCAAAAGAGGTCAACTCGGTTTACTGACGCTTGTAGATATGGTTATAACTGCACGCCAATTGAGAAACTCCACAATTCAAAAGGGCCTGTGTTGACTTCGATACAGAAGATTGATTTACTGACGAAGGACATGTATTCTGAGGTCAATGAATACTACTTTTTTCATGGCACAAAAATTGACAAACTGCAAGCAATTTTGACCAGCGGATTAGATTCTCGAGTTGGCAACACTCTTGCAATGTTTGGAAGTGGAGTCTACGGAGCTGAAAGTTCAACTAAGGCAGACCAGTACACCGGTATGTAATCTTTGGTTTAATATCTCAGCAGTGTGTAGATAATACTCAGCCGTGTCCCAACTATATCTCAGCTGTCCGTAGATAATCCTCAGCAATGTCCCAGCTATATCTCAGCAGTCTGTACATAATCCTCAGTAGTGTCCCAGCTATATCTCAGTAGTCTGTAGATAATCCTCAGCAGTGTCCCAGCTATATCTCAGCAGTCTGTAGATAATCCTCAGAAGTGTCCCAACCATATCTTAGCAGTCTGTAGATAATCCTCAGTAGTGTCCCAACTATATCTCAGCAGTCTGTAGATAATCCTCAGTAGTGTCCCAGCTATATCTCAGCAGTCTGTAGATAATCCTCAGCAGTGTCCCAGCTATATCTCAGCAGTCTGTAGATAATCCTCAGAAGTGTCCCAACTATATCTCAGCAGTCTGTAGATAATCCTCAGCAGTGTCCCAACTATATCTCAGCAGTCTGTAGATAATCCTCAGCAGTGTCCCCCTCAGCACTATATCTCAGCAGTCTGTAGATAACCCTCAGTAGTGTCCCAACTATATCTCAGCAGTCTGTAGATAATCCTCAGCAGTGTCCCAGCTATATCTCAGCAGTCTGTAGATAATCCTCAGCAGTGTCCCAGCTATATCACGGCAGTCTGTAGATAATCTCAGTAGTGTCCCAGCTATATCTCGGCAGTCCATAGATAATCCTCAGCAATGTCCCAGCTATATCTCAGCAGTCTGTAGATAATCCTCAGCAGTGTCCCAGCTATATCACGGCAGTCTGTAGATAATCTCAGTAGTGTCCCAGCTATATCACGGCAGTCTGTAGATAATCTCAGTAGTGTCCCAGCTATATCTCGGCAGTCCATAGATAATCCTCAGCAATGTCCCAGCTATATTCTCATTTCCTGAGACTTCTGAGAGTTTCTTGGACTTCAGGCCTGCCCCTCAACAAAACACATGTGATACATGTGCTCTGACCCTAGGCAAGCGAGTTTGTTCATGAAGTGCTTCTGTTCACCCCAGCAGTGAATGGGTACCAAGTGGGATAAGTCATATGACTGTTAACCTTCCAGCACCTCAAAGGCAGCTTGGGTTATCTGGGTAATAATGTGTCAGCGCCTTGAGCATGCACAAGTGCATGTAAACAGATGCTTTATAAATAGTCATTATTGTCCCCTGCAGCAACGCGGCATCCGTCAGCGTCTGTCCGTTCTTTCCGATTCTTGTTAACGTGATATCTCATGAACTGTTGTACCCAATGTCTTCAAACTTGGTGACAGCCTACATTGGGGGAGATTAAGCAGACAGTAGTCGATTTTTATGACCTTGACCTTATTTTCAAGGTCGCCATGACACTTTGACCACTTTTCAAACTCTTGTTAACATGATATCTCATGCACTGTTGTATCCGAGTGTCTTCAAATTTGGTGAGAGCCTACATTAGGCAATTATGCAGTCACCAGTTGATTTGTGTGACCTTGACCTTATCTTCAAGGTCACCACAACACTTTGACCACTTTTCAAACTTATGTAAATGAGATATCTCATAACACATTGCACCTAGTGTCTTCAGTTTTGTCGACAGCCTACATTGGGTGATTATGCAGACACTATTTGATTTGGGTGACCTTAACTTTATGTTCAAGGTCACCACGACACTTTGACCACTTTTCAAACTTATGTAAACGCGATGTCTCATAAAACATTGTACCCAGTGTCTTCATTTATGTCTACAGCCTACATTGGGTGATTATGCAGACACCAGTCATTTCTTGTATGTGACCAAAAAATTAAAAGTAGAAAATATGTTATAAATATTTCATTCTTCTTTAGCTGCAGGGGATATTGCCATATTAGTGGCAAACACTTGTTATTATTATGATGATGATTGTGGTTTAGGATTGCATCCAACAGTGTTGCATCATTCATTGCAGATGACAAGACAGCGAGAAAACAAGGATCAAGCAAGCAGATGATTCTGATGAGGATGACTCTTGGAGAACCATTCATCACAAATGACAAAAACTCCCCAAAATATCCAGGCAACAGGATCTAACTTCCACCTTCATTCTGTTAGATACAAAACACAGGAATGAATCATGTGACCAAAATCATGGTCAGTGTCATTCTGTTATTGGTGACGGATCGTGGCTGTTCCGAGAATTTGTTGTCTACGAACCGGAACTATGTTACCCAGAATACATCATTACATACAACAGGATCTAACTTCCTTACGGGACAACAATGCATTCCATGTTCACATTATTGCAAAGAAAACGGACACAAAACATTATGAATCAGATTGTGATACATTCTAGATTACACCAATCCCAACTGAACATTAGTCTGTCTGCTTTAAGGCAAGATGGGTTGAGTTTTTTCACCTGTGTCTATTGATGTGATATAAAAAAAAATGATATTGTGTTCTGATGTCTGTTAAGTAATTTGTGTTAGAAGTATGATCAAATATGGTGTGCTAACATTTATTGAGAAGAAGAATTCTTTAGTTATGTTCATACAGATGGAATGTGAAGGTCACACTGATTGCAGCCTCTTAAGGACTCTTACCCTTCATGTGAGACTTGTCTGTGTAAACAGTCTTATTGGTGCGACAATACAGTACAGCATCGTGATGTGAGGTACAAGGTGAAATGCATACAATTTGTTTCATTGCAAGTTATATTGATGTAAGAACATTTGATTAATAATATATAGAATATTTTTTTCTCCTCCTCAATATCCCATATTTGTTAGTGAAATTTGAAAACCATGATCCAGGAAGAGACTATATACTTGTGAAATATGTGTCAGACCCAAATTATCAGGATACGTATCGTATCATGCCTCATCATATTGTTTCGCCTCTTGTATGTTTATTTGATACAAGCTACATGTACTTAGTTTAGGTGCTGTTGGACAAGATCCTTCAGCCTCTCTGCTGCTTTCTATTGCACAACTCTTGCACTGCTGCTTACATTCGAGTACAAGAGGCTCCTACTGGCTGGGACTCCTATTTGTCTGATGTGTCTGTAGAAGCTGAGATTTCTGAAAATGATTCCACTTCGTCCAGGGTATATCAGTATTTGTTGCTTGTGTTGTAATGGGTAAGTGTATTGGATAAAAGTACATCTTTTTTATTTTTAAATTTTGTTTTCATACTTTGCTTTCACTTGCCTAACGATATAAGTGTTATCTTAAATATGAATAAATTATTAATACCCATTGTGTAAGTTTTTAATTATTTATTTTAAATTTCAGTTTTAGAAATATAAATGTTTCTTTTTGTTTTAGGTTGAATCCGTAAATTGAATGTTTATAAAGGTTCCTCATCTTAGTATGATTCGTTTGTTTACAGTTAGATAAATGGTAATTTACTGAGCAACATTGGAAATGCACCACTCTAAAATGCACCGATGATGCTCAGATATCATGGGTACATTACAGTCTAATGGGGATATTTCGTATTATATGCATGGTGTGAGACTTTTTCTTAAATGTGCAACTGTAAGAGCCTTGCATTTGAGTGAGTATATTGTAAATACAATGTGATACTCATGTTTGATAATTATAATTTATAGTTCTACATATATAACATAAAACATGGCCGTTATTATCAAAGAGATTTCATTTTACAGGATTTAATCTGTTTATATCCAGGCCTGTGTACCACATATACATTATTTTATTGATGATGATGATGAAGAGGAGGAAGAGGTTGGGGATTTCTAAATTGATTATTCTGGAATATGGTTGGTTTAGATTGGTTGGTTTGTTGTTTAACGCCAGACTCAGCACCATTTCAGCCATAGGGCGGTCTGTAAATAATTGAGTCTGGACCAGATAATCAACAGCATGAACATCGATCTACGCAAAAGGGATACGATGACATGTGTCAACCAAGTCAGCAAGCCTGACCACCCAATATACAACAAAACCTCTTACGACAAACATGGGTCACTGAAGACCCGGTAAATTCTAACTCGGATCTTCACAGGTATGGTTGGTTTTAGAGAATTGTACATAATGAGATCATTCTCACAGCTGAGTCTCTGTCTGCTGAAGTATCACAAAATCCTACCTTTTATTGACGTAACACTGGGTCCTCAATTTGTTATTGTGAAGCCATTTCCAACCAGCAGAGTAGTAGATAATAATAATTATAATACTAGTGCATAATATTGCGTTATACTCCACGCTGATTGCATGCTCGAAGCGCACATTAAAAGTCTAGTTAAATAAAGCTCTTTTAAACGGATGGGTCTTCAGAAAAGTTTTAAACAATTCAAAAGTTGGAGCAAGTCTTATTTTGATAGGAAGTTGATTCCATTTTGTCGCTGCCAAGTGAGAGAAAGAGTGATGCTTGTAGTGTTTTCAGAACAGAGGAGATGTTGTGCTTGCGATCTGAGATTCTCAGTGGTCTGTAAGGCTGCAGTACACAGGTACTCTGGTGCATCACCAGCAATATTTGTATGCAAGGCACAGGAATTTGTAGAAAACAATGAAGACTTTGGTGAATGGGAGTTATATGATCATGTTTGAGAGTCACAATTCTTGCCGCAGTATTTTGTATTATCTGGAGCTTATTGATTGTTATCTGAGGAGCACCCCAGAACAGGCTATTGTAGTAGTCTACCTTGGAAATGACTATGACAAAACAAGGATGATAGCAGACTCTTTGTTGAGATACCTCCTTATATTTCCAATATTTGTAAGCTGGATGAAGCAGCTTCTGCTCGAGTTGTTGACGTGGTTCTCCAAAGATAACTCAGGATGGACACATAGATCTTTAACTACATCTGCTACCTGCATGACACAAATCTCCATAGGCATGGAAGTGATATAAACTTTTCCACTATTTTGATATTCACAGTTTTCACCATGGCTGTCTGTTCTTGTATTTAACTTGTCTCTGCTCTGCAACTCCTCCCAATTCCTCCAATGAATTAAATATGAAATGTGAAAGAAGGTGAGCTTCTGCCCGTTTAACGAATGTATTGGACCATATATATGTGTATGACATTTCTGTATCTGTTGCTGTAATAATTGGAGGAAGTCAACTGTTGAAAAGGTGGAACAAAATAATTATAGCAGATTTGATTAATTAGCAAAGATGACTAGAAAGCTCGGTTCTATTGTTTTTATCAGTTCATTGTAGGCGGATAGGATGAGATATCCTTGGTCTCTGTTGATTGAAGGCTTCCTCCGATTGTTATTGTGTTATTACAAATATCCAGTGTTATTGTTGTTAATCCCTTTCATGCATACCGTCATGTTGTCTTACTTAAAGGCACAATGTCACAAATTTTCAACGATATTTTGGCCTATATTACATATGTTGAGGCATATGCACTCACTTTAGCTCCCAACTGATCCCTATAATAAAAGAATTATTATCCCTTATGACTTGCCTGAAATCGATAACTGAAACTTTGAGGCGAACAGCTTCCAAACAGAGAACACTTGCCATGTATGGAAGGTAAACAATTGCTCCGTACATCGAAAACTCCCGCATGCGGTATTGTTGGTGTTTGCCGAACTGGTTTCAATCACAAGTTGTGTGTACAATATTCATAAAGAGTGCTCTAAGGGACATAACTCTATGGTGTTGCGCTCAAAATAATGTTTGGACGGTAGAGGGTACGAGAGTCGACTTTATGCAACATTACATTAATTCATTCCAACTTTTGAATTTAATATTGTAATCTAAATACATAATTTTGGGGGGGAATAAATTATATGGTGGCTTCCCAGAGGGCTGATAGTATTATTGAGAGCAATACATTATTTATTTTCAGATAACGACATTGTGCCTTTAATCACTGTTAGGTGTATATAAGTCAGTTCTGTGCTGTGAAATACACATTATGTCGTAACGCACGTGTTAAATCTCCAAATCATCATCACCATGCATACTTCACTCTTGCTTTACAACGGTATAAGAATATATACTGAAACGTTGCATAATAAAATAATAAAGACGTTGTCATCCAGAAAGTGTCATACCTTTCTTCTTATTCATCAGCTTCTATAATGCCAGTCAGACATACCTGTACGTTGCCAGAGGCTCTGACCTGATTCTCAATACGGCCATCACATTAGACAAGGAGGTAGGGTCAATGCCCTTCTGGTTTGTATAACCATGGTATTTTGTATGGAAGTGTATTGGGCTAAAAAATAATGATCATGTTCGTGTATATTTTAATCTACATAGATCATACCTACATCTACTACACAGTACTACTTACACAATATTTTCCACCACTTTCATCTTTGTTGAAGACATTAATCTGTGTGGATGATACTTTTCTACCTCACATCTACGAAGATGATACTTCACCTATGTGCATGTTATAATCTCCGAAGAAGAAAGTAGGATCAACTATGAAATTATCAGAAATGAACAACTGCTTAATTAATAATGTCTGATTTGTTTGACTTTCTACCTGAACATGTTTTTATTGACCAAGGTACAATCTAAATGTGAATAAAAGTAAAACTTCATTGTGATGTGTGTCCATGTTACTAAATTACATGCAGCACTCTCTAACAATCATAATAAAAAGAGTACAGAATGCCCCCAAACTACAAACAATCAATTAGTGGTCATTATTCAAAATTTCAGCGAAAATATATTTCAACCATAACAATTTAGGAAGGGCTGGCTACCACTAAAGATGATAGAGATTGATAATAATTAACTAAATTTTGATTGATTATAAATAAATATCGGAGACGTTACTTTGAGCAAAAATGTCTGACAGAAATTACTATATTTCACAACACTGGTGAGCTGGTGAGTTGTGACATGTTTTTGCATGTATTTTTAACTATAACAGCTTCCTGAACATGATTTAGAAGCAGACCATGAATAAAGTCATAAATTTGCACATTGTGTTTCCGATTATCGATCATTTTAGCCAGCCCTAACTTTAAGTCATACATATCACTTGAATATATTGATTCACTATTTCTCCAGTATGGGAACTCACTTAAGAATTAAAATATGTAGGGGAATCACTCAAACTAAAAAAACAAATACACCTCATCATCCTATCACCTCGTAATCATGGAAGGAAAAAGTTTTGCTTTGTGTTTCTATTTTATCGCTGATAGTTTGACAGTTGATCTGAGGATGCTGTCAAAGGACAAATGAAATGATAAGATCAACATGCTTCTTAACCTAGAATTAATAAAACAGTCATTAAATGTCACCTAAAAAGAAAATAGAAATGTTTGTTGAACTAAGTATTTGCAACTTTGGCTGCAACTTCACAAGACAATAGTACTATTGTATTGTAATCCATAGATGTTTTTGGGGGGGACTGGCACTAATACACACCCAATATTTTGGAATAATTATAACTAAATTCATTGAATGAAATCCTCCAATTGGTGGGGAAAAATATTAAATGAAGTATTAAGATTGATTGTACCTAGTGCATGTAATTCATGAGAAATTCTTTTCATCAAGGGATGGGAATAATTGCTTGCATGTCCAGAAAACCGTTAGGATACAAAATGCCTGCACCTATTTCTTTTCTGTCCTGAACAGACTTTATGTCCTTAATAACCATGCTAGTTATAAGAAAAACGGCTTTCATGGGCAAGAAAAAGATTCTTTTAAGTTCAAAAGTAAATCTCATTGAGCAAAGCTGTGAGTCTGTGTGACCAAACACACCTTTTCATCATTTACTAAACTTTATCTACATCTCCAAACATGAAGCATACAACTTTAGGGATGACAACTGTGGCTTTCAGTGTAGATTCTTACACTGTTATCAAGGAAAAGTGATTGTTGATGATGTTGACTGCTACATCTCCATGTTGATGTCTTACATTCTAGAAGTTGGTGAGTACAAAATCTTCAAAGAATCCAACTTGGGTAGAAAACTTCGGAAAACATTTGTATTGTTATAGTCCAAGAAATGCATATGTTTCAATGACCAAAGTCTCATCCTCATTCATATGTACATATATGATAACCGCAATTTCTACAAGTTAGGCTCCAAAATGCTCTTATGATACATTGTCCTTGTGACACTTTATGTTAGTGTTAGGACGTAACTCCTCTGTAAGATCATCAGAAACCACTGATCCACAGTAGGTGAAACTTCATGTTTGTTCCCATCAATGATGTCAAAGGAAATTGGTTATTGTGTAACTTGGGTTCCAGTTTTCAAAACATATATTTTTTAGCTTTGTATTTAATCATGCTCTTAACTTCTTAAAATAATTATTAGATATTTGGCTAGATTACCATCTGCCCAAGATGTATAAGGTGTTGTCAATATGCTGTGCAGAGTTGTCACCCTTTAACTTGCCAGGAACCAGTGATTGTTGGTTAGAACCCCAGTCTGCCCCGATTATGTGTCTGGGTTTGTCAAACGTCTGAGACGGGCATTACAGGGGCGACTTTCCCATAAATCCAACAAGCTGTGATATAACTGGTCTATGTCTTTTAGCCAACCAACTCACCCCTAGTATTTCTGAAGATGTTTTGAGTGTTAGTATTGTCCGAAACATTTGTTTAGTGTCTGTTTCGTTGACACTTAAAGCTGTTGACATTGCCAGTACGGTGGCACTATATTCTTGTATTTTAATTGAAAAGATCATATGACTGACAGACATTTAGCTTTATTCATGTTCTTCCCTTTCATGAATGTATGTTAGTTGAATGGCCAGAGATGAGTGTGGCACTGTATCATGCATCATAGAATCTAATAGAAAGGTAATTGTTACTCATCTTGTGAAATTCTGCTCCTGCTGTTGTGTTTGTGTACTGGCCATGATCATAAACTGTGTGGAGAATGGTCACCTTCAACGGGGAAAAGTTAAGTGCTCATTGTTACATTTCAGTTTTGTAGTTTCATTTTATGTACATATCAAGATTGGTTGGTTAGTTTGTTGTTTAATGCCTTAGTCAGCAATATTCCAACTGTACGGTGGTGGTCTGTAAATAATTTAGTCTGGACCAGACAATTCAGTGATCAATAGCATGAGCATTGATCTACACAACTGGGATATGATGACATGTGTCAACCAAGTCAGCGAGCCTGACCACCCTATCCCATTAATCGCCTCTTACAACAAGCATGGGTTACTGAAGACCAATTCTAACCTGGATTTTCACGGGTTTACACATCAAGAGAAATTGAACACAAAAAACTTGTGAAAGGTTCTGTTACCGAACCCGCTTCTACATTTCAGATACCAGATCTGGTCACTTGTTGTAGAAACCTTGTGTATTTGTTACCTGTGTATCTTGAACATGGATTGTTTCAAGAAATTTAATCATTGTATCATTACTAGTATTTTAATTGTGTGTTGAAATTATCATGTGTTTGGAATACTAATTGCATAATGCAACTGTTTTTTTATAATAGTTATCAGCTAAATGTTTTAATAAATGTTTTATTTTATTTTAAAACCTACTTAGATAAAAGGAATAAATTTCTAGACAAATATTTAAAACATCCTGTTAATATAATGTCTTCAACAAATATAAATGTTATAAATAATAACATGTAAAATATATATTTATGAATGTAGGCCAGTGGCCTTTTACTGAATAAAATGTCTGTCTGTCTATCTGTCTGCAACTAAATGTTGTCTCAATGAAAGCCCTCTACATGCATGTGGAGATGTTTACAAGCCACAAAGTTTTCAAATTCATTCATGTACTTGTTTCAGACTGGACATGCAAGTAGTTGTCCTGTTTCAAAATAATTCATAAAATAACGAGACAGTGTCATCCATATCCCCAACCATCCTTGCAAACTTGCAATTGTAAATTATAATCTCAGAGGCAGAGGCCTATCACAATTACATGAATGACTGGTTATGATTTCAAAAGAACTCAAAACAATTCAAAAATGTGAAAAACAATATTCAGTATGTTAGTTAGATATTATTGATAATCATTTGCAGTTACGTTTATGTAAGACATCAATATTGATGTTAGGCATGGTAAAAATATCAATTTCTGAACTTGACGCTCCAACTCCATCAGTGAGTGAGTGAGTATGATTTTACGCCACCTTTAGCAATATTCCAGAAAAAATCATGGCGGGGAGACACCAGAAATGGGCTTAACACATTGTACCCAAGTGGGGAATCGAACCCAGGTCTCAACTCTATCAACAAATATTTCCCTATATGGTGTATAGAAAATGACATCCTTGCATCGGAAAGTGGTTTCCGAAAAGTGAGGTAAAATGGGTCGCGGGGTGTCACGTTCAAGACTTTTTCAACACTTACACATTGACATGCATGCTAATGTGTGGCCCAGTGGAAATCTCAATGGAGAATTACAGGAATATCAGATGAAAGTGCACTTGTTTGGCGCTGTCTCTTCACCAAGTTGTGCCAACTTTGCACTGAAAGAAACAGCGAAAGACAACAAGCACATGTTTTGCAACAATGTGATCCATGCCCTTGAAAAGAGTTTCCATGTGGATGACTCTCTCACGTCAGTCGCTTCTGACGAAATAGCGATTGAGATGTCACAGAAACTGAGAGAAATCTGCAGTAAAGGTGGATTTTGTTTGACAAAATGGATAAGTAACAGCAGAGCTGCAATAAACTAAATCCCAGAAGAGGATAGAGCCAAACAAGTTAAAGACTTAGACATAGATGATGCCTTGCCAGTGGAGAGGGCATTAGGTGTAGAATGGTGTGTCGAATCAGACACATTTAAGTTCAGGATAGCAGTCAAAGACAAACCAGCAACGAGAAGAGGCATTCTGTCAACTGTCAGCGCCATGTATGATCCACTGGGATTTGCAGGTCCTTTTGTTCTCAAAGCAAAGGGAATTCTACAAGACCTTTGCAGACTTAAGATAGGATGGGACGATGTCATTCCTATTCCTTCCCAGAAAGACTGGACCAAATGGTTGTCAGAACTACAAAGGCTTGAGGAAATGAAGATAAGAAGGTGCATTCAACCCAAGGATAGTGATCAGAATGCAATATCCAAAATACACTTTTCAGATGCCAGTCAAAAGGGTTATGGAACTGTTTCCTATTTAAGACAAGTCAGTACCACTGGACAAGTTAATTGCTCATTTCTTATTAGCAAGTCTAGAGTTGCTCCACTTAAGACCATCACAATCCCAAGAATGGAGCTATCAGCTGCGACTTTAGCAATACGAGTGGACAGCATGCTCAAACGTGAGCTGGAGATTTCAGTTGATCAAACCTACTTCTGGACAGACAGCATGTCAGTTTTAAGATACATCGCCAATGATTCAAAGCGATTCCACACCTTTGTAGCAAACAGGATATCAGTGATTCATGAAGGGTCAGTCCCATCACAATGGAAATATGTTGATACTCGAAACAATCCCGCAAACGAAGTATCTCGAGGACTGTCAATAGATGGATTTCTGAAAGATACCAGATGGCTTTCTGAGTGTCCTGAGAGTAACACTTAAACTGTTTTGAGACTGTAACTTGACAACGAGTTTGAAGTTAAGATGAAGAGCATCGACTAATATGTTTCGATTAGTTCATGCATACTATAATATACTAAGATTGTAACTCCGAGAGAATGTCCACTGTTATAACGTCTAGTTGTTTAGTCAATTTATGTAGCTTAGGAAGGCATTGTTTAAAGTAAAAAAATCGCTCTATATAATTTCATGGTAATTGTTACATTCAGATATAAGTAACAATTAGGGGCCGGAATGTTAGAGCCGAATTTTAGGCATTTGTTGTACATGCAAAATGTAATTTTTGAGTAAAATTGATATTTTATACTTATCCTGACTCATGCTCTTTTGCTTGTCTCCTTCCTCTTGCGAACATAGTGGAACACTTGTATCTCCCTAATTGAAGTTCCCTTCAATGTAAAATCACTAATTAGTACACCACGAAGTTACCTCCCTTCCACAAGCTGCCGGGAACGAGGGCCACCCCTCTACCCATGTGCCTCACTCTCTCCTCATATACTGAGCCCAACATTTGAATTTACAGGGAAATCCAAAGTGTTATTTGGGGAGGATGGGAGGGCTGACCTCATGAGTCAGGATAAGTATAAAATATCAATTTTACTCAAAAAATTACATATTTTTCCTTATCCTGACTCATGCTCTTTTTGCTTGTAGAATCCAACGGATTGGAGGTGGGAATATATAATACTTTGGATTTTAATAATTAGTGATTTGAACTGTGATGATTGTAATAACCCTATGGGAACTTCATAAAGGCACTGAACTGATGAATTCCTGCTGCTAACTTATCAGCTGCCATATAAAGGTTATTACAATGTACTTATTATGATAAAGTATATATAACATTAATACAATGCTTAAGACTAATAGACTTAAGCTTGTTAATATGCTAGTATAAACTCCTTAGAGTTTGTTAGCTAAATTACTTTTAAATTATAAACATAGTACTAAGCTTAAGATATGATTAAACTTAAGCTAATTATATAATAGCAAAACTCTTTTTAGAGTTTGTTAGTTAATGTACTTATATGATATAGACATAGTGCTGAGCTTGAGATATGAATAAGCTTTAGCTACCTATATAATAGCAAAACTCTGTAGAGTTTGTTAGCTAATATATTTTTACAATATGAGTATAGTACTGTGCTTAAGATATAATTAACTTAAGCTACATATATAATAGCCAAAACTCTGTAGAGTTTATTAGCTTATAGATTTATAATGTAACCATAGTACTAAGCTTAAGATAAGATTAGACTTAAGCTAAATGTATATAGCAAAAAACTCCTTAGAGTTTATTAACTAATATACTTTTATGTTATAACCATAGTACTGAGCTTAAGATATAATTAAACTTTAAGCTATATATATAATAGCAAAACTCCAGTAGAGTTTTGTTAGCTAATACATTTCATAATGTAACCATACTGCTTAAGATATGATGAAACTTAAGCTAATTGTATAATAGCAAAAACCCTTTAGAGTTTGTTAGCTAAAATACTTATGATATAAACCTAGTATTGAGTTTATGAAGGAAACCTAAAAGCTACATATATAATAGCAAACACTCCGTAGAGTTTGTTAGCTAATATACTTATATGATATAAACATAGTATTGAGCTTTTGAAGGAAACCTTAAGCTACATATATAATAGCAAAAACTCCGTAGAGTTTGTTAGCTAATATACTTATATGATATAAACATAGTATTGAGCTTAAGATTTGAAGGAAAACTTAAGCTACATATATAATAGCAAAAACTCTGTAGAGTTTGTTAGCTAATACAAGTTATAATGTAACCATAAAGCTTAAATTATGATGAAACTTAAAGCCAAATATATAATAGCAAAAACTCTTTTAGAGTTTTGATAGCTAATATACCTATATGATATAAACATAGTATTGGCTTAAGATATGAATAAGCTTAAGTTACATATATAATAGCAAAAACTCCGTAGAGTTTGTTAAGCTAATACATGTTATAATGTAACCATATTGCTTAAGATATGATGAGACTTAAGCCAATTAGCAAAAACTCTTTAGAGTTTGTTAGCTAATATACTGATATGATATAAACCCCAAACTCTGTAGAGTTTGTTAGCTTATATATTTTTTACAATCTGAGTATAGTACTATGCTGAAGATATAATTAAGTTAAGGTAAATATATAATAACCAACTCTGTAGAGTTGTTAACTTATATATTGTATGATGTAATAATCATAGTACTGTGATGATAAAAGAACTTAAGCAAATTATA